TCAAATAGCATAGAAAAATAGAACATTCTTTTCTCTATCAGACTATATAAAAAGAAAGTTTCTTTAACCTTTCTATAAGGGATAAAAATACCATTGCCACTACTTTTGGTATGCCCTAAGTAGGTCTCTTGAAACACGAAAACAATTTATATTCAGTTATTGAAAATGGTACAAAAAGTTTGACAGCATCTTTTGAAAGGTTTTTGTACATCTCGTGCACAACAATGATGTTAATAAATTAGAGAATGTCTGTCTGATTGAAGATTGTCTCAGTTGTCGTAAATGAAAAATACCCGTAGGCATCAACTAGTGGTGCCACAATATTAAATGAACATTTGTATGCAACAGATTTGACTTACTAGAACCACTAATAAACTAGTTTGTTTGCGCTACAGACTTTACTTAACAAGAAATTGATGCTGAGAAAAGTTTAATATGATCTCATGGGATAAAAGTTTTCGAACGTTCAAAGGACGGGAACGGGATAAAAACTTTCTTCCGTATAAGACAATTTTTATCCCATTCCGACTCATGACAACTCCTGTTACCTAATTTTGATGATTTAATAACAAGTTTGCAAAGAATATCAATATTTGTATCACGATTTGCTTCCATATTTGTATAATGTTTTGTTTCCAGTTCATTTTTGATGAATAACGATAGACGATTGAAATATGTTTTTGTTTGAAAACATGGTGGAATATTATATGTGCAAACATTAACAATTTTATCCGGCAAATGTACAATATATTGTATACCATTTTCTCGCTGGTCAAATTGTTCGTACAAAAATTTTAAATAATTTTTATCATAGATTTCTGTTAATAGATATAGAAGATAATCACGATTTGATTTATCAGTGTTATTTGTATTTAATTCAGATAATAATAGATCAATAATTTGTTTTTGAGTTAATCGTATATTATTTAAAAAATATTGATAAAAATCAGTTTTAATTTGTTTAATATTATTCGATGTTTTATACCAATCCGATAATTTTCTTAAACATAATTGAATTACTTTTTCATGGATTATACTCTGTTCATTCTCAACAAATATTTGTTGAATTAAATCGCGAACACTTGCATACGTTGTTGTAGCCGAAATTTGTTTTAAATAAGAACTATTTATCACATACGATTGAATCGACATTTAAAATGAAGCCTGAAAAAATGAATATAAGCAAAGAAAGAATAAACCGCATAAAATGATATTTATCAATCACAATTTCTTTTTCATCATACTTTTTTACTATTTGGAAGCAACAATATGATTCTATTAAATAGACGCGCAATACATATGCTAAACTTTAACATATTTAATGTATTTTATTAAAACTTAACCATGATAAATATACATGAAAAACACACATAATATATGAGAAATGGACATATTAACAAACAAATAGTTTATTCTATTTCTTTCAAGGGTGTAGCAGTCGCTGTTATTGTTGTTGCTGTTGTTGTTGTAGAATTAGCAGCAACTGACGTTTCCAAATTAACATACAATGGAATAATTCCTAATGGATGTTCAGCACGAGCATCGAATTCGGGTGCACGTTTTTCCTGTTGTTTACGATTCCAAATATCTCTCAATGAATTAGCTAAAATTGATACAGAAAAAATTGAGTATTTTTCTAGAACAACCACGAAGAGACCATTTACCAGTGTCTTACTACTGGTCCTTCTTTTTCTTTCTGCATTATACTAATGCAGAAAGAAAAAGAAGACTAAATGTTTATTTGAGTAAGTAGTTCATTAAAATTATATTTATGGATCTTTTTTGAAAACCTTCCCTTTTATCTCTTTTTTAGTTTTTCCTCATTTAAAATAACGCCAAACGTAACCTACCAGCTAAAACTTGTTTGATATCGCTTAATTCTGACCATGTTCTGCCCCAAGTTTGTACATTATCATTATTTGCTGCTGAATTTTCAACGTCATTACCCTTGTCTTTAATATTGCTTGTAGTATCCATTGGTAAGAGAAAGTCTCCAGTATTACTGTGTGGTAAAGAAGAGAGAAAAATACGATAAAATAGAATAAATTTACTATTTTTATTACCTTGGATATAATGAAACGTCATTGTCTGTATCAATTTTTTTTCTCTCAAGAACATGTTGATAAATTTGACGATGTATATCTGAATTATCTTTGTGACTACGAAGAAAGCATTCAATTTCTTTCCATAGAAAACGATATTGTTCATCTCTGACAAAAAAAAAGTAAAAGAATACAAAACAACTTTATGGATTTTTTCAAAAGTCCTACTTTTTTGCTTTAGTCGTGGACAATTTTGTAAAATATTGAAAATTGGCTGGAATTGGTAATTGTTCACCACTTTTCTCCATATCTTCAACATGTTTTAAGGCCACTAGACATCGAGTACGGTCGTCTTCAGTTAAACGTTCGCGAAGTAAAACCGTTGTTAATATATTGACTGGCTAAATAACAGAGAAAAAAACAAAAGAAAATCTCTACGGCACTATTAAAAGAGACAATCACTCAATAATAAATCACTAACTTTCACTATACCGGTGACATATGATACAATATTGTTTCATTTGTTAATAATGGCCATTGACGTGTATGACGTTCAAGTAGACGCAATGCTAGAAATAAAAACGAGTATATTAAACTCTTCATTGACGGCAAAATCCTGACAATAATCATTATTGTCAAGGAGTATTTTAGGCTATGATATGATATATAAAAGAAAAAATGTCTAATTTACAATCTTCTATTGGAATTTTTCCATGTAACGTCGATTCTACTGGATATAATGTTGTTGCATGCATAATTTCAATAAAACTCTAAAATGGATGAAAAAACTTAGACTAAGATATAAAATTATTTCTTGAACTTACTTCTACACGTAAATCTTTTTCAATTATATCGTCATCAATATCATCAAAATCATCTTGATCATAACTACTCATTTGTAAACGTTGCTGTTGATTATTACTATCCTCAGTAATACTATACCAGGGTGCTATTTTACTCATTTGATTTTGACCAAAGGCAATGGCATGAATATACAATTCATGATTATGTGATATTATCATGTGCGAAAATAAACGACTATTTGATGATGCTTCATCTGTTCCACTTCCACCACTAGTAGTTGTTGACCCACTTTGATTTATATCTTCTTCTTTAAGATTTGAATAGTTACTTAATGAATGATCACGAATATTTATTGTACATTCTTGTGGTAATTGTCCTAATTCTAGCAGTACACATTTACCGCTCAATAGAAAATTTGTTAAACAAACAGATTCACGACTATTAACATCCAATGGTGAAAAACGATAAGCTGAATATGTATCATAATAATCTAAAAACAGAATACATACGTGAAATGTACACACACAAATGCTGTAAGATAAAAAAAACTATCAAAATTCTCTCGATATTGCTGCTTATCAAGATCATTTTGAAAGTTTTAATATTACTTACTCTCTGGATCGTATGAAAAAGCACTCCATTTTAAAACAATTGTTTCAACATCATCTTTTATCTGACGCCAATATTTTAGTGCACCCATGTCCCTTAAAATGTCATGTACTTCAGCTGGATGCACAATATCAACATCATAATTCAGACTGGAACGAGATGCAACATCTTCCTAGAAATAATGTTATAGTTTGTCTACAGTTCAAAAAATAGACTAATGAAAATAGAGTTAGATACCTTCATTGGAATGCCTGTAACTGTTGTCAAAGCAAGATTATGCTGAGCTAAAATCATTTGAAGAGTTTTTGTAAATAGTGATTGACCAGCTTTAGCATAATATATTGTACGCGTTAAAATTGATGTTATCTAAAAACAGAAACGTGTAGTTGTCAACGGTAACTCTGTTAAGAATAACAAGTGCATATTTTATACGTATACTAGAGTAAAAGTATGTCAGAGTAATGTGAATGTTTTGTCAAAATTTACCTTGTGTGACTGTGTATTTGATGTTTGAATTTTATCGTTATTATCCAAGGGTAGAACATCAATAAGTGATAAACTACATTTTGTTAATGGAACAAAACTATAAATCAAAAAAGACAATTTTAAAACATAATCCTCCTTTTAATACTACGTCATTCATATACTTACTCTGTAACTTCGAGAGCCATATGATTATGTAATTCATGAAAGTTCCGAACATCGCGCTCGACTGATTCAATTTTTTTAGCACTAAAAAAATGTGGCAATTGAACATGAGAGAATGAATCAAGCGAACATATACTTTTGAAAATTTGAAAAAATAATAATATTTCCATCATTCTCGTAATCAAAATTATTTGTTCCCGTTTGTTTTATTGATCTTGTACATAAAGCAGTTATAGCTTCATTAATCGAGTATTTTAACAAATCATCTTCATTCGACGATTGTCGTTCAGACGGTGGCATTACTCCAGCAAAAAAATCCATACACTAATAGGAGAGATAAAAATCATTTTAAATAAACAAAAAATACTTCTGCTCCTTACTTGCGTAAGATTTTTGTATCTTGACCACCATAACGACTGATCACGTTGATCTATTCCAGTGACAATGAGTGTAACCTGAAAAGAAAACAAATACTGTTAATTTTCTTTGAATACAAAGTGTTTTTTGTTTTACCAATGCATCATTTTCAAAAATATCAAATAAAATTCGACAATATTCTAAGACGGCCTCGATGACACATGTCCATAAAGATTTAATACCACTTGTGTTCTCGTTATTCGTTTCATCTTGTTTTTGTTGTTCATTCGTTGATGGAACAACATTAAACGTTACACCAGATTGACGACAAAAATAACTACTACGATCCAATATAATCACAGTTTTTGATCGATGTTTATCCATCTAGAGGATAGCACAAAATGAGAAAAGCAGGAAATACTTCCGTTAGATGCGTCAAATTGACCATATTAGATTGAGAATTATTTTTTATATCAATTCCGAGGAATTCAGAACATTTCTCGCCAAACGGATATTTCTGTAATACAGAGCTGGAGATTTCTGCGGCAGATCACTGCCGGTTGTAGATAAGATTTGTACAGATCTGCTGCAGATTTCAGCAGAATTTTAACATATTCAATGCTGAATCTGTTACGAACCTAACGGTTTTGCAACCTTTTTCATAGTTTTCTAGTTCACACTTTCATTACTCTAACGAAAGTTCTTATGCTCAACAGATGTTTTCTGGAGCCATTCAAAAAACATGGATTTCACCGTGTTTTACCCGGTTTTTTCTTCGGGAACATGATGCAATCAAGTTTGTTAATCAACCTTGAACGTTTTAGAAGTTTCCAAATTAGGCACACAACAATTTGGAGTCGCGATTACTCCTTCAATTATCTATATCTTCTTTACTTGCTCTTCTCACACTCTTGAACTATATTTAATGTGATTCTTCGGTATCTGTATTCTGTTCCGAGGGAAATTTTGCATGTTAAGTTATCTACGTTCCCCCCTCACGTTTGTGCATTTCTATTCTGGAATTTTTTGTTAAACTCAGTCTATACAAGTGGAGAGTTCTTAGATTTGCTAAACTAATTATCGGAGAAGATCTTTTTTGATTTTTGAAGCTGACAGAAGAGCGACAGCTCAACTTTGTGATCAAGCAAAACTACGAAGAATTTATCTTCTCCAACTCTCACTCTCTCTCTGATATAACTGTGTACTTACCTTGCAAATTAGTTAATATTTTTCGACTAATTTTACTTGAAAATATCAAGAAAAGTAGATATCAAGTGCAAGAAAAGTAGAATCTTACTGCATTAAGAGAATTACTGACTTAACTGAGGCTGTATACAAACATACAATAATTATTCTTTTCTTTTCGTTTTTTGGTTATAGTGAGCAGCTCAAACAAAGACAAGACATTCATATATAAAACACGTGGCTCGTGTATACATAGAGAGTGTATGAAAAATTTTGTGTTCAATCAATCACTCACAACTCGTTAACTTTTTGACCAAATTAATTAGTTCTTTCACCGTCAGATTCGTGAGCCTCTTATTTATTTAGAAATGAAAAAAGAATCCAAGGCTTCCACGATGAAGCTCTGCAAAATTAGACAGGAAAGTTTAGCAAGAGAATAGTGAAGCACGCCAGTCCTGAACTCGAGAAACAGCTGTGCGATCGCCGATCGAAGGGAGGCGTAAGCTCGATGTTGGAAACCATAGTTCTCCGTGTACAATGCGTTGTTGGTGTATGAAGTACAAGTGATAAAGTCAAGGGATCGAACGAATCGCAGATGAGCGCCTTTGCTTATAATATAATTGTTTTTTTATAAAAGCAATCTCGACAGAAGCCTGTCGACCAATCGTTATATTTGTATTCTTCAATTGGCAGGTTTTGCTAAATTTTTTAGTAACGGAGGGGCTCTATAATAGAAAACAATACTTATGTAAAAGCTTACATCATACTAGATTGAAATCATGCTCTTCGTTTTAAGGCTGCGGTTATCGACATCTATAGTGCTATTGTCAGTATTGGGTGATTGAATCAGATACTTGTTCCTGCGGGTATAACACAGATCATTGGCAGAAGTCAGTGAACGGCAAACAGCAATCATCACCGAAGATTAAGGATTGAGATCTACTAAAATCTTTTACTGCATTTTTGCTGCAGCACAGATGCGCACCAGACAAAAACTATCATTCCTCACTGGTATTCGTGTCGTACAAGTGCCACTGTAGAAAAAAGTTTCAGTGCGCATTGGTGCCAGATTTTGTTTTTGAAAAACTTTCCAAACTCAAAATTTTTTTCGATTTAAACTTTTTCTTCTGCTACTATTTCCGATAAAAAGTGTAGCAAAAGTGAGAACTCAGTTTATGTTTGGTACTTTCAATGTGCTCTTTCTCGGGGTCTGTAAAAAAATTGAATTGAATGATTTTTGAAAATAAATATAAAAAAAAGTTTCTAATTGAGATTTTTTCAGATTTCTGTGGATCAACTTTTGTCCGATGAGAAACACTAACATCCATAGTAAACGTACTAGAACAGAAATAGCCATATCGATTTGTCCAAGGTTATTAAAATTCCGATTCAATGTATGATTGTCGATGTTTCTTTGTGCCATATATATACGTAGATCTTGATTTTTGAAGCAATCATTTTATTTACAGTCTATTTTTTTAAGATGATAAAGATCACCATCTTCTGTCAAGTGTTATGATGAAGCAAGCATTAGTAAAAGACTTTCGAATTTGCGATGATTATTTACAGTTTCAGGTATGTGTTTCTTTTTTCTACGATATACTTACGCTTTATTTTTAAGATCTTTCTTTCGGACATCGATAGATGTTAAGTCAGTCTTTTTCGTGTCGCTCTTGAACTTCAAAACAACTTTGGATCAACTTGTCCTTCAAGCTTGTTTTTTATTTATCTGTTATAGAACCATTTAAAAGAGTTTCGTCGATTGGATGATCAAATATTTAATACGCTGAACACGACTGTTTTAACGTCCACATTTCGTTCTAGAGGATCAAATCCTACTCAAACATGTCACGATCTATTTGATGAAGTTAGTTTGTGATCATCATTTATTTTTAACCAACAGCGAGTATCTTTCTGTTTTTAGATAAACAGACGTTCTGTATATCGTGATGAACTTATCGACGCTTGTCTGAGTCATACGAATGATTTATTAAATGAAAAGAATTTAGATGAAATCAAACGTAAAACTCTTTTATATCAACGCCGACAGATTCAAAGTGAAAAAAATATCGAAAAAATTATTAGTGATAACACTGAAAAGGTAGAATCTATTTCAGATTTATCTCATTCATATTTCAGGCTTCGTAATAGCAAAAATCAAAAAGTAGGAGTAGGAGTAAGATTTTGAAGTCCGTTATGGTAGGATTTATATAAAAAAGTAGGTAAAGTAGCTTTTAGCTTTTAAGAGAAGCTCCGCCACAGGACCGACCGACCATGCTGTCTGGGGGAAAATTTCATTTTATTTTTATTTATGTCTCATTCGAAGAAAAAACTTGAATTTTCACAAATTTTCGTATTTTCTGATTTTCTGAAAAACTATCAAACTCCTATGTTTCGTTCATGGCTCATTTGAAAGAGAAATGTTTACTCTATAAGATCATATATTTAGACATAATAATATGTTTAACTATCTAGGGCTAAATAATAGAAAACTAAGATATTCCATATTTATAAATTTGCATTTTTCTCAATACTTTTTAAATATAAGCCATGCATATGGCGGTCCCAAAATAAACCTTACTTCATTTTGTAGACCAGGCAATTCTGTATGGATTTATATGTAATAGAACATTTTAAAACACTAGGATGATGTAACTTACTATAAATCAAATATTGGAGACAGACATAGGTTTCATTGTTTTCTTACTTTTCTAAATTTTGATACAAATCTCAAAGATCTGGACATACAAACTATTTTTGAGTCACTACAGATGTAGAGCAAACATTTTTCTACAAAATGAGCTCTATGGGATGTTTTTTTATGATTTCACACGCACTTTATGACAAACACTGTATTTGAAACCCGTCTCCTACTGGTTTTCTCCTCGGTTTTGATCCGTTGACCAAATGCAATAATTCACATATGGTTGAATAGAGCATTGAAAGTTACATCTGGTGGCATACTTTTGTATCTTCGTCAGCTCATATTAGTGAGAAAAAATATTTAATTTTGTGAAAATGGGTATTATGTATGGCAAAAGACATTTTTCTCTTACTTTTCACAAGGGAACCTTTTTAGTTTTGCGTTTAAAAACTGCACATGATTCAATGCTAACTATTCATGCCAAAACTTGATATAAATTCTTTTCTCCTAACCGTTAAAATAGATCTTTTTAAAAACAAAGTTAGGCAAGCTTGTGAAAGGTACCCTGGGTGGATTTTTATCTATATGATTTTTAGACGGTTAGGAGAAAAGAATTTATAGCAAGTTTTGACATGAGTAGCTAACATGCATTGAGTCATGTGCAGTTTTTAAACGCAAAACTAAAAATGTTCATTAGTGAAAAGTAGGAGAAAAATGTCTTTTTGCCTGTGAATTTACTAAAAACACAGAAAATTAAAAAAGTAGGAAAAGTAGGAGAAAATCCAGAAAGGAGGACATAGTAGGACGATTTTATAGAAAAGTAGGAAAAGTAGGACGTTTACGAAGTCTGATATTTATTAAAGTTATCTATTCTAGGCATTTTATGAACGTTGTCGAGACTATTTTTCACCTCAATCGTCGTCGAAATAATATTGCTGAATTTGTGACATGCATGTGAGTCTAATGCAACTCTTTTTTTCCTTTCTGTTCTTTAATAACTTGTTACTCTTATTTTCTGTTATAAGCACAATGATTGGATTCACTATAAAACTAGTTAGAGATATATTCATTTTTTTTGTAGCAAAATTTGTTTGTTTTTCGTTTTCTACATTTTTTCAATCTTTAGGAAATAAATTTTGATATACAGTGACTATGAAATACTTTTTTAGCTCGACTTCGAAAAGAAAAGTCAATTTATGAATGATGTACATACATATACATGTATACTGACCGGTCCATTTGCATTTTGGCCAATTTACAAACAGGCAATAAGATCGGGTCTATTTATAAAGTGGCGGGCCATTTTCTAAACGGACCAATTTTCCAAACTGGCCACAACATATACACGTTTATGTGTTTATATGAACGTACTTTTTAATCACTGATCAAAGTATGTACAAGGCTAATTTGACCATTAAACATTAGCTTCTTCTGCAACGTTTGTATCCCACATACATACCATTGTTTGTTTCTTCTCTTCCCCGATGGATATGTCGACAAAATTATCGGCCTAGATTCTTACTCAAACGCAGATTCTTTTTACAAACTTTTGTACTAGCAAGACTTTTTCATGTATCAGTGGCTATGCCAGAATAAACTGAACTGAACCCATTCTCCTATATATTCATTAGCCATTATTGGGTCGAAAATGATGATATTTGTCAAAAAATTTAATTTTTTGATTTCTTTAAATACCTCGATGTACGGTAAATGATGAAACAAGAATGTGGCTGTGAACAGGGATCCATTCGTCAATCCTTGAGAACCATAACGATAATGGTTGATGATAGATGAGCAAAATTTACCAAAACAAGGATAATTTCATAAACACCGAATCACGAATGAAGAGAAATTAAATGTTTTACAAAATTAAAACAATTAAAACGATTTGAACTAGTTTGTATATGAAAACTAAATATCTTTAATAAGCATTAAACAATTTTTGTTAAATATTATTGTCGTCGGATCACTTTTATCAGCCAGTGAAGCTAACAGTTAATTATCAAATGATTGTGAATAGAAAGTGAACGTTTTGTCTGAGGCTTGAACCACAAACAATGGAATACAATACAATCGACATTTCTATAGGCATAACGAAAAGTTGTTAAGAAAAGGAACCTGAGATCAGAGCTAGAATTGTATAATTGACGAGGATTAAACAATACAAATATTTCCATGACAATAAGTAAATGTATCTATATGATACAGATAATTATGTTGATTGTTTCAATTTTAAATCACAATTTGCCTCGATGCTCACATTCTATGTGCAAAAAAAAAGGATTGTGCAATCAGGATAAAGAAAGCCGTAGTGAACGTATTTTGACGGAAGGATCATGATGAAATTTCAGCATGAGGAAAGTTAAGCACGGACTTTTCAACGCTAGGAAGGATCAGCACCAAGAGAGATCAGCGCAAATACTGGTTTGTCATAGGTTTGAAACAAGAGTACGAGCTGATAATCAATTTGGAATAAATGATTGTTTACGAATTATGCACGGAGTTATTTATAGATCATATCTATAAGTATACAGCTGAATATGAAATTAAGATGTACATTTGAAACTGAGTTTAACAATGTAATAATGGGATTACGAGTCGAGTATTTTCGAAAACTCAACGTAGAAGTGGTATGAATAGATGAAGAGACACTGTTGCCATTATCATATGTTTGTCTCTACACACTACAATTCCAACTAACGGTACTATGAAATACTTACATTAAATATCCATCTCAACATTGTCATTCTTAACTAATATTTACGTTAAGTTTAATGATATGGATCCGATAAAATGTATCAGTGTGATGGTGCAAACGTAACTGAAATGGCTATACACTTTTTATAGCATATAATGTATGATTTATTATATACAAAAGATTAATTCATAATTTAATAAGTATCTGAAACCTAATTATCCGAATTTATTCTTTTTTTCGATTTCGAAAACTATTAATCGAATGTACCATTTGGCTTAGTTTACCAAAATGTACCAGAAGCACTAGCTTTCATCCGTAACACATATCTGATCGACAATTTTTTCTGATCTTGAAATATGCTCCTTATAAAAATAAGCATATTTGACCTTCATATTGATTATCAATTCATACTTTTGTTTCAAAACTATGATAACCAGTACGTACGCTGATCCTAGCCCTGAAATTCCCCGTACTCAACTTTCTTCGTGCTGAAGTTTTCCTTTCCCGTTTTTTTGATACATGTACTTCGCTAGCGTAAACTTCAGCTAGTACTTGTCTCTTTTCTGGGGTAAATTTACTTGTAAGTGATTGTTTTGCTTGACAAGCACGTCTCAGGTAAAACTAAAACTGCCTTCACACAATACTTCGTAGTAACAATACCAAGTATTGGAATCTTGGATAAGTACTTGCAAAAGTCATGCAAGTGAGTAGTTTTGAAAGCACTTGTCATAATAAAACGTTACTTATATAAAATTTAAACATTTTATTGAATGCTCTAGAATTTTAACAATAACAAGTAAACAATTTTCTATCCCTTGCGCAGCGAAAAGCCTTTTTGAGGAGGTATAAGAAAAACGTTTTTTCGTTGCACGACCAAAAACGAAAAAAAAAGTTTTTTCCACTGAGAGGAAACGAAAAAACTTTTATTTTAGGTTTAGATATTTACACTTTTCCCCTGCCCCCAAATTTAATGATGATTTCTGTCCTGTTTCCAGATGCCATTATTGTTTTCTGTATTTAATAGCAAAGACTCACTGTTAAATTAAACATTACGATTGTATTCGTCATGTTTATGCCCAGAATATTACTCAATTCACTTTCCAGTATTATTTCTTTTTAACTATCGTGTATTTTTCTAGTAAAGATTACATTTATCATAACACAAATTATGTTTTTCATAATCTGTTGAGCATAGTTTATAAAAAGTTTGACTAATGACGTGTTAATCAAGTAGTTCACAATAATAAAACATTACTTATATAAAATTTAAACATTTTATCGAATGCTCTAGAATTTTTACAATTTAATTATCTAACTTAAGTCTTAGTGAATTTCGATACAAATTTTAACAGACTTATGAATTACTCTTCAGTCACTGGAATATTTACATTTAGAAATGGATGTAATAATTTTTTCTGTCATTATAAATCCTTTGAATTAACATTTTTTAGAAAACACGCGTCTAAATGCTGAATATCTCTTTTCTGATCGCTATACGGGAATACAATCATAAGTATTTAATTTTATGCAGATCTTAGACTTATTCATAAGCGTCATCTTTTTCTCATTGAAATATATTGGCTGAATTGTAATTTTTGATACTGATTATAAGTCTGATATTCATTATTTCCTTTGTCGCTGCTCGAATCCAGTTTCAAGTCGAGTACACCAAAATTTAATAAGAAATTTTGCAGAAGCAGTTTTAGATCATGACTCTATGTGAAAGTAATCAACTTTTCGGATATATTGACAAATTAGTCGGACTAAGTAATACGTTTTGGTCGAAGTATTACCAAATTAGACTAGGAGTCAAGTCAATGTCTTTATTACTTAAAACGATCTAAAACTGTGAGAAATTACTTTCTCAATAGCTTCATGATCTTCGTACACGGTCATAATCAAAACTTTTGGTGAACTTCCGTACACCTTGATTTCTGTAGTCAGGGTCTTCAACTCTCTGTGGAATAAATTGATGTCAAATCCATATTACCGTCATAAACTAGATATAACTGTGTCCCAAAATGAGGGAATAGTTAAACAGTGTCTCTCTTAAAAATGATGCAAAATCAACAATTTAAATTTAAGAGTAGTATCCCATCATTCTCAACTATATTCATTTTCGTGTGAACTTTACTGCTTCTATACAATTTTGTTTATTTTAAAATCATTCGGTTATGAAATTCAGAAAAGAAAGGTAATAAAGAACTTCACCACAGGTGGTGTCTGACCTAGTGTTAAGTGTTCAATGTTCAAGTCTCAATTATTTTATGTATATTTTGTACAATACCATACTCTACAGGATGAGTATAGTAAAAATTGTGTTCTTGGTGGAATAAAAAATGAGTGAAATTGTGATTGATATTTACAGACATTCGGTTACCTTCATTTTCTTTTTTTGTTTTTATTATGGTTGTATCAGCCAACAATAATGAACTGTGTTTTCACATATTCATCCGTCCCATATACAAAGAAGACGAAAAAGAAACGAAAGAAAAAGAACTGTTTGTCATATCTATTATAAACTTCTGTGTTTCAGAAATATATGAAATATATTTGACACATCACATTTGATATGATGACTGATGCTGAAAGTAACAAAAATAATGTTATCATATCATCAAGTAATTTTGAACTACCATCAGTTGTTGTTGAAAAACATGAATCGATATTATTGAAGAATCTGTTATGGAAATTAGATATACGATTAATACCGTTTTTATCACTGCTCTATCTTTGTTCCTATTTGGATAGAATTAATATCGGTATGTTCACCTTGAAATTAGATGACAAAGCCTTCTATTCTAGATCCAAACATGTGAGAGTACTTGAACATTTTTTTTACTGTAGGCAATGCCAAATTAGCCGGTTTAGAAGCCGATGTACATCTGAAACCAACGATGTATGGCTGGTGCTTGTCTATTTTTTTCGTTGGTTACGTGTTATTCGAAATACCATCAAACATTATATTAAAAAGAATTGGTATAAAATTGTGGATACCCTTCACTATGTTCATATGGGGAACGATCATGATTCTAATGGCATTTGTTCGTTCGCCAAACCATTTGTTAATTGCAAGATTCTTTCTCGTAAGTTAAATTGTCATCTGATCTGGTTTCTTTTATTTGTTCATTGTTGAATTTTAGGGTGTAGCAGAAGCTGGTCTATTTCCCGGTGTTATTTTTTATATGACATTATGGTATACTAGACGTGAGCAAACAATTCGAATGGCTATTTTCTACTCGGCATCTGTTATTTCGGGAGCATTTGGCGGAATTTTGGTAAGTGTAATCTACTTTAAAAAAAATAAAAATGCTGTTTGTCTTTGTCCTTTTAGGCGTATGGAATAATGCAAATGCACAATAAAGGAAATTTACGTGGATGGCAATGGATATTTATTGTCGAAGGCATACCAACTGTTCTTCTTGCAATTGCAGCATATTTTTATCTTCCAAATTCTCCATCTTCCGCGAAATGTAAGTTATAATTGGAAAAATCTGTTTCGTCTCACTAATTCTAATTTGGATTTCATAGGGCTTGATGAATCTGAGCGTGTGGTACTCACTGAACGTTTGATACAAGATGCTGGTTCATCTCATGACACAAAATTTTCTTGGAGACAAGTGCTAAGCGCCTTCAGTGACTACTATGTTTATCTCTACGCTCTAATGTATATTAGTTGTTGCACTCCGGCTTATTCAATGTCACTTTTTTTACCTACGATTATTAATAGTATGGGTTACACAAAATTATCAGCACAAGGCTTATCAGCATATCCTTACTTGGTAACATGCCTCTTTGTCATTCTCAATGGTATCCATTCGGCAAAATCAATGGAACGTGGACTGCACGCGAGTTTCGGTGCCTTGATCAGCATAGTTGGTTTTATCCTACTGCTGAGTTTGCCACAATATGGTCCGCAAGCAACTTATTTCGCATCGTTTATAGCATGCACGGGCACTTTCATGTCACTACCACCGTTACTCTCCTGGTTTACAAACAACATCGGTGGACTTACGAAACGAGGAGTGGCAATTGCGTTCATTGTATCCGTTGGAAATATAGGAGGAGCTCTAGCTGGGCAGGTGCATACTGAGTTTTATGACTTACTCTTAGTGTAATATTTTCTATGTTTCTAGATATATCGGGCCAATGATGCTCCTTTTTATCGTCGTGGTCATTCAATAGCACTCGGTTTTAGTTGTCTATTGTTTATCTCATCTCTAATAACAAAATGCTTACTAATCAGGGAAAATAAACGACGAGAAAATCTTACACAGGAACAATATCAGATGGAAACATCGAAAACGAATTTAGCTGATTGGGTAAGTCGATTCTCTAGCCCTTTTACGTACTCCCTACAATTAAGTCCGTTTTCTACTTGCAGCATCCAGATTTTAGATATGTACATTAATGGAATCAAACTAAAATCTTCAAACTAATTAATCTCCTCAATATTCTGTAATATTTAAATTGTCGAATTTTTTTTGAGATTCGAGATAAAATTGAAATGATCAAAATGGTTGGAAAACTTTCTTAAATATAAGAGGAACTTTATTAAAGAGCGTTAGTGTGACAAGATGTCATATTTTAGTAAGCATACAAAAATGCTCGATTTCTTTAATCAAAAGTTCATAAAAAGTTAGAGTCAGCGCAGCGCCAAGTGCAAGTCATGAAGCAAGCAAACCGAGTACGAGTCCTGAGTCCATTTCGAATCCAATAATTTTTTCAAACTTTTTTCGTTATCGTTGTTGAAATTTCTTTTTTCTCCTGCATCGTATAATACATTTTTTAAGCAAATTTTTAAAAAGAATAACACATGTGCGTCTATATATACGCCTAGACTAATATTGAAAAAATGCAAATTTCTCTGTTCATTTATGTCAACACGAAATACAAAATCTCCAGTCCAAGTCCGAGTCCACCAAAAAATCTTTCAGCCCGGACTCGCCTAGTTCTGTTGTACCTTTTCATATATTCTTAACAAACGCACGTTTATTATAGGACATATTTTAAAAACATACACTGATATAGACAGTCAAAGAAACAAGCATAACTAGAGATATTAAGATGTTTTGGTTGATTTTTTAACCGATTCATCATGTGTACGTATTAATTCTCTGTATTTTTCCGATTTTAAATATTTTTCATATTCTTTTTGCATTTCCTCATCATAACTTTTGAGTTCGAGGATGAGTGGATGACGTTGATTATTTTCCAAATTTATCNTAGGACATATTTTAAAAACATACACTGATATAGACAGTCAAAGAAACAAGCATAACTAGAGATATTAAGATGTTTTGGTTGATTTTTTAACCGATTCATCATGTGTACGTATTAATTCTCTGTATTTTTCCGATTTTAAATATTTTTCATATTCTTTTTGCATTTCCTCATCATAACTTTTGAGTTCGAGGATGAGTGGATGACGTTGATTATTTTCCAAATTTATCTTTAAACCTTTTTCTTTCAATTGATTTTTTGTCTCTTTGGTATCACAATCGATTATCCATTGATTATTAACATCGATTGAATTGAGTATAACACTTCTAGCCACATATTCTAATGATAAAATTGTACGACTAACATCAACATGACCATAATCTGTTTGTAATATTTCATACAATAAATCGAGTAACTGTGTATGATTTAAACTCAAATCATTTGGTACTGAACACAGTAAGGCATTCGGCTTCTTTTCTGGTACATCATTAAAATACCAAACTTTTTTGGCATTTAGACGCTGTTTTAACTTCTTATAGGTTTCAGATTTTATTCGCCCATTTTCATCAACTTCTTCACGTGGTACATCATAATTGACACCACCAGGAAAATAACTAAATGAACAACTAATTCTATTTACTACCATCAGTAATAAAAGCGATAATTGTCTGAGGACGTTAGTGACAATCTTCGTTTAATTATTTTTTTAGCTTTAGCAAATGAAGATTAAATAATCGGCGTATTTTCAAATTACTCGAACCCATTCGTACTATCAAATTTTTACCTTATATCGAGTGAATTTGCTTTAATATCTTCGACTAGTTTTTCATTAATAAGTTCATTGACTTTCTCAGATTTTCTTAATGGATCAGTTTTAGCAATGAGTGTCAATACTGTGTCATTGTATTCTTTTGGTATTTTAGCAAGAAAATTATCATTTGTTAAACTTTTAATTGCAAATTGCGTAGGATTATCTAATTTGATTATTTCAGCTTCTTTCGTTCGTATATTTTCTGCATATTGTTCAAATATTTTTTCGATATATGATACTTGTGTTTTTGTTACAACAGTTGAATCGAAAAATCTAAAGTTGATTAAAAGACAAAAAAAGGAGACTTTATGTCCAGTAGATTTGACATCATCTATTTTTTTTAAAAATATTTTCATTAAATCTCAGACAGACATCAATGTTCTACTTACATTTTTGGTTTATATTCAACATATGTTTGTTTTAAATCACTATTTATTTCGTCTGATGTTCGTGTCGTTTTATTTCTTATTCGTTTAAAATAATCCATTAAATGTTCAATATCTTCGTCTGGAAAATGATTATAAAATGTTTTCGATGGTCTTATTGTGCCTAATATTAACAAACGTCGTGCATTCTCATTTAATAAACTCGATCGACGTTCACGTTGTTCTATTTTTTCATCTCTGTCGGTATCAGAAGAATCATTTCCGCTTGTTGTCGTCGTTGTTCTCGTTGTTGGTTTAGAATTCTGAGGAATTGACACTGATAATCGTCTGGATTTATGGTGTTCCATAGAATCAGGTTCATTATCGAATAGATCGAATGGTGGTGAACTAGTATGCTGCTGAGGGTAACCAGAATTCTTTTGCCAGTTTGAATTTGATACTGTTAAGTCCATTGTATTTTTACGTCCGTCAGTAACAGTTTGTGCACTTCGTATAAACTCATTGTTTGAATTTAGATTTTCATCAAGATGAAGATTTACAACCGGTAGATGTAATAAATCGGATTTTTGTACTCGAGCAGAATTGGTACCTCAAAAAAATAGAAAGTGAGAATAAGGTTGATTTTTAGATTCATTACGATAATGATACACCGAGTATATCTACAATTAGTTACAATCAAAAATAATTAAAGCAACAACAGTAAGCAAAATGATTCATAATGATATAGAATAAATCAATTTTGAAGAAGTGAGCGAGCATTCGACACTAAAAGATGATTTAATATGACATTCGTTTGTTTTTGCTTGGTAGGAAAAAAAATTTCTGTCAAAAGGTAATAATCCTTCTCTTCTCGTTCATTCTACTTAAAAACAGACATAAATGTCGATAAATCTTGACAATATTCAAAATACGTTTAAGTAAATGTAATAGAAATTATAATATTCCTGTTTCTCTAGTTTTCAAAGATTCTTAAGCAAGAGGAGTGAGCAGAATGTTAGCGAATTAGAAGCCAAAAATAAACAATATAGTTTCATCATGATACAGCCAGAATAAGCAAAAAAAGACAAGAAATGAACTATTGTAGTATATATGTATGTACGACGTTGAAATGAACAGAAACTTCAACATATGCATTAACAAGCTTATTTTTCAGCTTAATTCATACCGGATTTAATTGTGCGATGGCATTTCATATGTCTTATAGTCAAAAAAGACATACTTCTGACTATTTTTGCTGTAAAATAAATTTTACTTAGTAAAAACAAACTAGTCCACAATATTCAAGATCCTGGGACATGATGCTGTGAATTACAGCAAAAACCTATAGCATTATATCTGTTACAGACTGGACAAGACTCGCATCTTTCTCCTTTCTGTCATTTAATTTTTTTACGTAATTATCTTACCTTCGGTTTTTGAACTTTGTCGTTTAATTGCTCTGTCATTGGACAATTGATTTTCATTGTTGGATTGTTTATGTTGAATATTTAAATTATTATTTGGCTGAAAAATTTCATTGATAAAATGTTCACTATTGCCTGATGACTTTTGATGATGATGTCGACGTTTTTCCTGTGGTGATGGACTACCATTGTGAAATTTTCTCGATGGAGAATCATTAATGTTTGTATCACCATGCGATCGTGGATGAGGTTGCTTTTTGTTAGGATTATTACAGTTTACGGTAGAATTAACAATTAACGATATAGAATTATTCACATCAGTCGTAGTAGATGGCTGTTGTAATTGATAGTCAACAACAGACAATATTTGTGCTTGACTCGATGTTGGCATTATTTATCTAGAATAAAAAGTTACAATAATAAAAAACGTTAATATAGACAGTCGATTCCCTGTCTCTCTCCATTCTTGTTTTCTTGTTTCTCTTGAATTTTGATCTGTATACCTTTAATTCGTTTACGAATATAATTTCAAAGTATATGAATGAATACTTTTCTCTTTAAAAAAAGTTGAGTAAATTTTCTGACTGAATTTATTATTATTTTTATTATAATAAATCTTCCAATAACAAAATCCGTTTTTATTTTTAAATTAATGAGCTTCCAGTAGGATAATGGTGACGTATATCGAACTTGAGAAATGGAACAAAGCAAGAATCGCGAGTTGTTATCCTTCAAAGACCTATACAGAATTGTTCGGATATCCGGTTGGATTATTTAAATAGTGATCTCCTACCTCCTTTCTTATTGCATTTATATTCATGAATATTAACGTTTTCTAATATGCTACGTTTAAAACTAAATCAAATACGAAAAACATTGAATAATATGTTCTTATGTTATTTTATTTCAACAAAAACTTTTCTCACCGACTTTTGTTCTCAGATGATACTTGAGATTAGAGGAAAAAGTCAATGAAGTTTAGATATTCTGTATGATGATAATTCAACATTTAGAAACAGATATTAATTTTAGAGGATGGCACTAAATGTGAGATAGTGAGTGAACAAATACTATTACAGTCACATGAAAACGATCTATCAGGATATGAATGTCTCAGAAATAAACACTATAGAAATATTCATATTGTGAGCAATATGAACAATACGAATATGTAATCATTTCTAAAATGGGACATGAAATGAAACTGATCGCTTGCTGGTAACATCTCTTATTATAAATTAGCTAATGTATCATATAAGTACAAGTGAGTTCTCGAAAAAAGCTCTTTCTGTTCTCTCTGAACTTCTATACTATAAACAATTCTCCAATGTCTGTTTATGCGTAAAAATTATTCAATTTAATTATTTTACTTTCATTGCAATAAAAATTCCTACTTTATAGTATAAACACTTGTAACATCCGTTTCTTTACCGAGAAAAAAGTCATTCTATGGAAATAGATGAATCTTCAAAACGATCAACAAATAGAATAGCACGAAATAATGTCATTCTAATGAAATAAATTTTAAAAATATTCTCGGTAAAATAATTGTATCTTTTTGATTGATCAATAATTTTTGTCTGCTCACATTGACGATAGTTTCTTGTTTTAAAATGCAATCTCAAGGACTAAACATAAAACTTCACCAGTAGTAATTTGATTCAATATTCACTACGATATCAAATATAAGATTATTCATTTCAAGAGATAAGAATTATTGATCGCTTACCGTGTATGTTGTCGTATTGTGAGAATTACAGTTCAATATTTCAAACAATGATTGTCAAATAGAAAACGCTTTTTCGTAGAAAGAAGAACCAAGAATAGAGAGAAGGTTTTTTTTGAAAAAATTTCGTTTAAGTTATCTCATGCACGCGTATGACTATAAATCAATTATACTTGAAACAACTCAAACAGACTGCTTGTTCAATAAAAAGGTTTCAAGCATTTTTATTGAGCTTTGTTCGTCTTTTACATTCATTTTTTTTTTCAGAGCTGCATATATATTGAAAGTTAAAAGGTTGCCCTTTTTTTTCTCATTACATTATCACACAAACGAATAGTATAAAAATAGTTAAGAGAGAAAAAGATTTATTGAAGTGTACACATATAGGTATCTATCACTAAACTTGAACACTGCGGTAATCTGGAAAAGAAAAAATTTTCGTTTATTTAATTTTTTTTTGGCAATTAATCTACTAGTTTCTATTTACAATCTTTTACGATAAAATAAACTTTCTTTAAATAGTATAGATTTAGAAGAATTTGTTATTATATTTCCATAGTAGATTAATTTCATTCTTGCTCAGATTATATAAACAATAATTATTATTATTATTCATCTATTAAATCTTTTTATATATGAATATAAAATATTTAGATGTTAATTCTATAAAATATTTATTTATTGGTTATATATTTCTTATTTGTAGAAGAAGACCGTCCAATTGTCAAGCGATGTGACCTTCTCCTTGTTGTTTAATAAAACTCACTTATATCCTATCGTTTTGATTATACTACCAAATATCATTTCCTTTTTTTATTTACATGTATTTTATTAAAAAAAAAAACTGTTGTTTACTGCTTGATGTTTCAAACAAAGAAGGCAATAAATGAAAGAGAACTTGTAAAAACATCTTAAACTTGTTGATGAATCCGTTGTCTGGATAGAAGGATAAGTGTTTCAAAAATCTGTTTAAAAAATAATTTAAAACAAAACAATACATATGCAATAAATATACAGATATACTCTTGACACAAAATAGAAGATTATCACTTTGAAACAGATAATTTATTACAGAATTATGTGTTTATTTATAAAACATTCATTTTATAAATACTATAATTATAAAAATAAAATTTCTGTCCATGTTTTGTTCTTCACTCATCCTAACCTACTTTCATAGAAACAATATCAATGGTTGGTATCTTACAATAGATTGCCAAGTAGAGAATAGAACATTTTTAAAATTAAATGGAATTATGAATGGTGTACAAATCAATGTTGAAGTGGAGAAAAAATGAGAAGAAAGAGAAAATGCATACTGTTATAAAATTATTTCTTTTTTTTGTTAAAAATTTGTTGATTTCTTTCAATCAATTCGTAGCTCTAATGACAACTGATACTATGATCCATCATAAAAAGAAACGCACACCTCCACCCTCCGTTTTACTGTTAGCTATTCCATCTGAGACAACAAATTATGGAAAAAATTCCCATTACCATCATCGATTAATACGTCGCGAGGCAACACTTCCACCCACTCGTACTGTTCAACATAAAAGAAATTTGGATGTTGAAAATTATTTATCGACTGTTCAAACATATAATTGGCAACGTCATGAAGCTAAAGCATCCGTTATCAATATGGCAGTTGATATTGTTTATAAAAATACGTATATGACAGAAAATGGTCCACATTCAAAATCCTCCTCATCGTCAACGGGTGATCGTTCATCTCGACGAAATAATGATGCTTCTACATTACCTCGATTAAAAACGGCTCCCAATGATTTTTTACAATGTCTATCGCCATTATCAAAACCGACACCGGTGCTAACACGTACAAATACCTCAGACTCATTTCATTCGAATCATTCTCAATATCGAACAGTTTATGATTACATACGTGATTCGATTCGTTCCGTTGTTCAACAACGCAATTTAAAACAACAGAATTTTTCAACTAAAATTAAACGACCACAAAATGAAGACATATTTCTTCGACGAGCGTTAGATAAAAAAAATCATTTTCAACTCTATAACAATAATAGTGAACATTCGTCATCAACAACAGAAGCCTATTTCCACAACGAAATGAAAAGTCCACAAAGTTTTGTTAACTATGTTAATCATTCACGAGAAAAAACATTGCCGATAGAGCAAACATCAAAATATAATTATTATAAAAGTAGAAGCTTTGCTAACAGTGACATTATTGAACAAGAACTGATTCAGAGCTAAAATAATCTAAATATATTTTGAACATAAAACGTTGAGCTTTCAAATTCGATATATAAATGTCAAAAAAATGTCTTACAAGTGAACAAGAGTTTTGAATAAAAACGAATAAATACATCGAATTTTAGTAACTTAATCCATATGTTTTATATGGTTATGATTTTATAGGATATGGTTTTTTGCGAGACGAATTAATAAAAATTTTGAGTTTTTTTATAAAATTACACTGTTTATGATTGTCTAGTAACTATCACATATGACATTAATAACTTTGTTCACAGAAAATGACTCTTAATTATATTGCAAATGTGTATATGAATAAACCAGAATGAGAACGTTAAGAACAAAAAAGAAATTATTTTTATTCGTATTAAATCAAACACTTTTAAAAACGACATGAATAGAAGAATATCATTCGTAAGTTGATATGTTTAAAGTAATATAACTCGTTTAATAATCATACTTTTTTGTGATTTTAATAGGTTCTGTCATTCTAATTATATACGCATCAACCATAGCAGAACTATTTTTAAAAGACTTAGATTTATTAAGCGAACAACTAAGCAGTCATCAATATCAGTAAACATGACAATAGTCGATATCTCATAGTGTTTTCCAAACACGTTTTTGTTCTAGCTGATGTTCATCCACTACTGAATTTAGAATATCACCATCAAATATCAACAGGATTTACTAAAACTGGAAAAAGCAGAATTTTGTTTTCGTTTTGTTTGCTACGATTGGATAGATCTCGTCGAGTTGCATAGGAAAGGGTCAAGTTTAGATTTTTAAGACTCACTTTTGGGCAAAAACAATTAAAAATACTGCTTTAAATTTAAAAATAGGCAGAAATGAGTGAATTTTTCAAAAATAAGGAAAATTTTCAGGTTTAATGTATTTTTTAAATTCTTAAACTCTTTTTTCAGATTCAGCATACAAAATTCCGTATAAAACACTGAATTTAGCATTTTTGGAAGCCAAAATGCCGGCGGAATTCTTGAAACCCGAGCAGAACGGTTGGAATGAGTCGACTAATCTGTACATCTATCCTATCCGACTAGTTTAATTTTTTTCGAATTTGCACGATGAAAAATTACCAAGATTTTCATCCAAAACTGAGAATTAGCTAAATATTTCGAAATACAGATTAGTCTGCTTAGTTTTTGATTGTGATTCCGAATATGGTATTTTTATTGCTTAAGGATTGAGATCTGGTTGAGAAAATTGAGAATTACGGTCAGAATTTCGACGTTTCTGTTTCTGATTTAGAAAAAATGAATTTTCTCAGCAACGAAGCAAACTCGCTCTGTAATTTTTTTCCATAGGCCTAATGGTTAGAATGAAATAAAAAAATATTGTTCTTATTTATGTCTATAGAGACCTAATGGGTTTGCAAAATGTACAAGGTCATCGCAGTCGTTCTGCTCGGGTTTCAAGAATTCCGCCGGCATTTTGGCTTCCAAAAATGCTAAATTCAGTGTTTTATACGAAATTTTGTATGCTGAATCTGAAAAAAGAGTTTAAGAATTTAAAAAATACATTAAACCTGAAAATTTTCCTTATTTTTGAAAAATTCACTCATTTCTGCCTATTTTTAAATTTAAAGCAGTATTTTTAATTGTTTTTGCCCAAAAGTGAGTCTTAAAAATCTAAACTTGACCCTTTCCTATGCAACTCGACGAGATCTATCCAATCGTAGCAAAGAAAATGAAAACAAAATTCTGCTCTATTTTCACGTTGCCGGCACCTTAACATTGATGGTATTTTTCGAGACTTTGCATATTGTAATCGTGCAAAGGACTCGATGGTTGTCATTGGTGTATATGTGTATGCTATTCGAATAAGTAAAAAATTGTGTTGCCTTTGATCGCGTTCTTTGCATGATTCCACTAAGAAATTCTTGAATTTTTTAGCGTTTCTGTGGAGAAATGGACCTTGCGGGTTGCAGCCTCGCTTGTTAGTGAAAAAACTCGTTAATATGGTCGAAAAATGAGCGATTTATGAACTATTGATTGAACCATGTTTTTTCCATATTTTTCTTCTCGTTTCGTTCGAGAAGCAAAATGTAGAAAATGCGAAAGAAATTAGACCTTGTACAAATTCTATGCAGATTCTAAGCAGAAATGACGTATTGTAACGAAATTCTTTGCAGAATCGGTACAGAATCTTTTAAAATTCTGCTGAAATCTGCATCCGATGTATACAGATTCTCATACAAATCTTGTCTATATTTTACACGTCGATGTTGGACAGAACATTCAGACACGTTTCATTTGCATAATTGCCTCCATCCGTTTCAGAAGGGCCTGCAGCCATGTTGCTTAAATAGACAATATGAAAAAAGTAATAAATAACGAACGAAATAATGACAAATATTTTTAAATTATCAAGGACTGATAACTTGTGAGAGATTTCTTTTAAAGTAAATTGAATCGGACTGTGAAAAAGTTTCTCTCGAGACAAATATTGCCAAGCAGTGTTTCAAATGATAACAGGACTCAAAGGGAATTGTTTGCTTTCAGCTTGGGTATCAAAAACATATCGTTCAGTGAGTAAAGAATCAGTATCTCATTCATTTTTCGATGCTAAAACAAATAACGATATTTGGTGGCTTCTTTTAGCTCTCATTAACCCATGTCATACGAATCACCTAACTCTTACAGATTAATCGCGATTTTTCTGCTGTGTCTCTATGGCGAAAACAAACGCTTGAAACAAACGCTTTCGGTTCAAATCGCTTTAGGTTCTAATGCTATATTTAACTTACCCAGATCAACGGTCGCGACTAACTCGCGGCACGATTGCGATGTCGCGCTGGCGATCGCTATTATCTCGCCCTTGTCGTGAAGAAATCGCTATAACCAAATATAAAAAATCGCGTTGTCACGGTGCGATCTCAGTAAAATCGTTTTTTTTTTCAAAAAAGTATCTTGTGAGACTCGCGAAGCGAATTAAAACTCGCGGCGTGATCGCTGATGCCTTGCTGTGACGCGTCACGATCGCTAAAAACTGAATAGCAAAATGTTATTTAATCGCGAAAAATGTCTTAATTTCACTCAAATTAAACTGAACAATTAATTTTTTTCTGTGATTAATCATTTGCTGTGTACCCTAGTGAAGCTTTTTTTCTTCAGCACATGATTTTCTTGAATTTCTTGAGTAAGAATCTCATAGCGTGCAGACATTTCTTACTCATGCAAAAAATGCAAAACGCATTTTTTCCGATGTCATGCGCTTGACTTTCTTGACTCATGTGCTTGAGTTTCATATCTCAAGAAACTCATGCGCGCTTGAGTATCTTCATGCGCTTGACTTTCTTGAGCCAAACTTTTCTCTGTCTTGTCTTTTCGATCTGCTTTGACCAATGAAATTCGAAATTTTTGATTTCGTTCTTTCAATGTGAATATATAGAAATAAATTGGAGGGTGTTTCACAGAAATTCTTAAGTCATCATCTGATGACTTAAGACTTTCTAGTCCACACTTAAGTCCATGTCTTATCTAAGTTTGAGAGAAACTTAAGTTGACGAACTTAAAGTGTTGCACAACTTCAAACTTAAGTGTGACTTAAAGTTTGGTGCACAACTTAGTCGCGTCAGGTGCTTGTTGTCAGGGGCGTTTGATAACAAGCTGTTAATGAATATATGATAAAATTCTAAGTCATAAGCACAAATTTCTTCCACTTTTGCATGCTTTGGTGCCCGATCCGACATTTCACTGTTCGTGAAGAAAACAGTCTTAGTCTCTTAGATTTTGGAAAAAGAACGTTTAATAGTCATGATCTGCAGTACCTGGAGAACCATTTCGCGTTTCTAGAAGTTCTCTATATCACTGCGTGCGCATTTTTCAAAAAATGTGACTAAGGAAAAAAAAGAAAGAAAAAACTCCGAGCAATCGGATAATGTCTGTCGACATAAAAACATGTTTTTTTCCGATAGCAGCTATCCTGGCGCCTATAGTTACCCCAGAAATTAATTTTCTTTTGACTAGGTGTTTTTGCGTACTTGAAGAACATTCATTAAATAACTTTTGTCTGATGGGGAGTCGTTTCGTTGAACAAAACTCTTTTTAACAGAGTGGTGTGTTGGTTTAAGGATCCTCTCTACACATTTTTTTCTAACCGATTTGAACGAAACTTTTAAGAACTAAAGTTCATAATGCGAACAGGCTATGATAAAAATGTTTGGCTATCATCTACGAACATTTTGGGTTGAAAGCCCAAAATTGCTAACAGTTGTAACCCAAACATCTGCAGTTTTCTCTGAAACAAAGTCGAAATTGAAAAATCGGTTTTTCTTATATTGTGCAATTTTGTCCAGTCTTTCTCACGAACAAAAAAATCTTGTTACGTAAAATTTAGAACAAATTTGAATCTCTGACAGCTCATGAAAGGAGAAGGAAAGTAGGTCATATAAATTATATTTTGAGAAAGAGCTCTTTTAGTGGAGTGTGTTTAAGCAAATTCGAGCGCATATTGAAAAATGATATTTAGTGTAACGTCACCTTTCTCACACTTTTTGTAGTATAAGGGTAGAATTAATACCGAAAATGCTTTATGATGATGAAATGTAGCTAATCAAGATTTTAGTATAAAGCCTCGCGCTGTTAAAAGTATCTTCATTTTTTCGTAGTTGCAGACACATGCTGGACACAATAAAACATTTTTGTGCCATATATTTTTGTGACATATTGGAGGCGCTTGTAAGACATATTAATGAAAACGATAACGCGCTATCAATAAATCGTCTGTCATGGTTTCCATAAGGTTTTATCTGTCAAACAAATTTCTTTCACAGCGTAACGCCTTTCTCAACAGCCACTGATTAACTAGCGCCATTATTTCTTTTATTTATTTCCCAAAATACAAGTGTCAATAAAAAACAGTTAAAAAATGTTGTTTGTTTACTCTGATACTTCAATTTTTATGTCATATTATAATCGCAGCAAGAGTTAAGACAAACTTAAGACAAGTACAGACTACTGTTAACTTAAGCGTGGACTTAAGTCTAACTTAAGTCTATGACTTTTTGTGAAACGCTCAAAATTAAGTCTAGCTTAACTTAAGACAAAACGGCGACTTAAGTATGACTTAAGTCTAAGTCGATCACTTACGAATTTCTGTGAAACACCCTCCTGGACGTGTCTGTGTATAGAGCAGACATGTGGACGTCATATACATTCAAGAGAATACTCTATAAAAAGAAGTCCAGTGCGGCACTGGTAAAAATCAGTGCGCATGGCATGCCATCGGTCACTGCCGCTGGCTGGCACCGGTGCGCATCCGTGCCCAGCAAGTGCCGAACCAGTGCCGATATAGTTCTGCCAAAAGAGTGCCACACTGGCAAAAATCGGTGCCGCACTGATAATTTATTTAATCAATTTAATTAGTTCTTTATTATCGTTGTTTATACTAAATTTGTATTAGAGTGCGGCACTGATCAGTACCACATCGACATGCCAAAACTATGCGACATTGCCTCGGCACTTCTCTTATGAGAAGGAAAAGATGAAGTCAGAAAGACATTCGAAATATTAGAAGTAGACTGTAGCGTTAATATAGATAGAAATTGACAAAACAAAATGGTGATTGAAAACAAAACTTCGGTACTGGTGCGCACCGGTGCGAGATTTTTACATTCTTTTTGGCACTGGTGCGCATCGGTGCCCAGCAAAAAAATTTTCGGCACCGGTGCGCACCCGTGCACAACCAGTGCCGATAAGATATTTTTTTGTATGGTAATGCACGTTGTCTAAACAGCGATTTCTTCTTTTTTTAACGTACTGTGAAGATGAAGACCATTTTTACTCGCATTTTTTGCATGTTTTAGCCTGCGTTTTGTTATTGATTTGTTATAAAAAAGGATAAAAAGTTAAATAATTTGAACCTTTAACTTCGAAGTAAGTACACAGCAATTTGAGACGAAGAAAGAGAGAGTTAAATCGTCCTGCGTTTTTTCTATCACAAAACTGAACTATCTTTCTCATTAACAGTTATGAAAGGTCTTTCTTCTCAGATAATGTACCGAATCTAAGGTCCTTTCCTCATTGTGTAGGCTCAGTTAAAAATATGAACTGTGCAAGATCTTCAAATAAAAACACACAAAAGTGAGACATGCACCAAGATTAGCTCTAGCAACGAACTGATATTAGCGTCTAGTATTTACGGATACGCTTCTCTAGAAGTCCAAGCGTGAATGTTTTGTTCACATACGGTAAACGTTACCTTATCGGTAAAACTCACAGACGTACCTTAAAAGACATCAGTCTTTCTCACTTTTATTTTGAGATCAAACTTCAGTCACATGTCGAAACAAAGCTGAGAATTACAACCCGGAGCGAACTTAGTCAATCTGAAAGGAACGTTTTTCTCAAACAAACACATCACAGATTATCGGAAAATTATATTCAGCAGTGTAACAAAAGATAACATGAAGATTTTAGAGGGCCGAGTGAATAGTAGAAAGTCAAAATTGCTGTGTACTCGCTTTGAACTGTCATGAACTTTTCATTGAAAACGATCTATCTTGCTTTGGAGATAAAGATTATGGCATAGTGAGAGTGCCAGATGGTCGAGAAAGACTAAAAAACTGATTGCATCATGTTCTCCAAGAAAAGTCCGAGTAAAATATGGTCTAATCAAGTAAAGTCTAAAAAACGAACCTAGAGCTATGCGCGGAAAATCGATAATGCATGACTTTCTTAAGGTATGCACATGAGTTTCTTGAGATATGCACAGACCTTTCTTGAGGTATGCACATTGTTTTAGATATTTCTTCTCTCATGCGCATACGTCACGCAGCTCAAGCGCATGAGACAAGAAAGTCAAGTACATACAGTCAAGTTCACAGCCTATTACTTGATAAATAAGAAAGAACTAAGAAACGAAGGAGGAGAGTGGATTTGACAGAAACCGCGAGAAGTACAAACTCGCGCTTTCTTGACCAAAAAAGATAGGAGTCGCTTCGCGACATAGCGAGTCCCGCCGCGAGAACAAAGAGTCGCGCCCACTAAAAGGAGAAAATAAAGAAGTCGCGTCGCAAATGTAGCGAAAAACTGAAATAAATTAATATATGGATTACAGCGATTCAATAAAACGTATACCAGATAAATGCCCTATCTATGGCGTCTCTAGGAGATCGCTATGACTTTTGATTTGCTGGAAATATTATAATGAGAGTCCAATCATGGCATGAGGGAATTACTCATGCTTTTTATTCATGGCAGCTGACTAGTGGCACGTATATGAATGTGAATATTGTAGACAGTGCTGCAGAATTTGCCGGTTTGTTCCGACGGTCGTCGGGGGAAAACTTATTAATTTAGGGAAATTTTTGAAAAATTCGAACATCAGCCTTAAAGGACCTTAAAGAATTTTCTTTAAATAACCGAAGTGATGAAGAGATGTTTTTCTTATTTGTGATACACCGAATAATCACACTAAACGTAACGTCATCGAGAAGAGTACCGGGAAAAAGTGTGATATTATCACGACTTTGGTGAGAAATATGTCTGTCCAGTAAAAAAACTGATGTCACATTCTTAGCGTTCAAAAGTACTATTCGATTACGATATTATTACAATTTTACCATAGTATCGGCGTCGCACAGTATTTTTGATGAGAGTTTTAAGAAGAGTGCGTTATTACCACATTTTCCATATTTTGCCAGCTAAAAACAGAGTGGAAACCTATTTTCCAAAGTGTAAGCTTATTTTGCCCTCACCTGACCTACTAATCATTAGAAACGTCGCTGCGGTATTGGAGATGAACCACGATCGAGATGATGCTGCGCTTTTGCCGTGTTAGAATACGTGGGGCAACTTGTCAGAAAGTATAGGTGAATTATTAGATCAACAACGATTTTTACAATGGCAGCTTTCTGGATTTGTGTAGGGTATGTGTATTGCAAAATAGAAGGCACAAGTCAGTTGGTAAATATATATAGATGTAAACATGATTAATAGTGTAGCTGTTTTGAATTTCATCAGATCCTTTATTTTGTCTGGATATTTTGGCCTTAACCGGTCATTTTCAACATAAAAGTAATTCATTTTTCCTGTACAGTAGTTTTGTGTTGAAAATGACTGGTTAAGGCCAAAATATCCAGAGAAAATAAAGCATATGATGAAATTCAAAACAGTTGCATTATTAATCATGTTTTTGAATCAGAAGTCGTTGCTCTTACAAATTTTAGAGATTACGTATTATTATTTTAGATATGCTCTATTGGAGTGTAACATCTCCGACACGCGATAATATTGTAGGCGATCATCTTTATCGTTTACGTTATTTTAAGATACCCGCGTATTGTCCTTACTGCGAAGATTACATTTGGGGCAGCGGAAGTGTTGGCTATCAATGTCAACAATGTCTAGATTATTTTCATGTTGAATGTTCACTTGTCATCTCATCTGGAACATGTCCTGTTGCATCAGGAGCAAAACCATCGTCCTCTTCGTGTCATGTAAATAATCGTTCACTAATCACATATGATCGTAGTATACCAATCACTGATTGGTCAGTGAGCGATGTTTGCGAATGGTTATCTGTTGTTAATTTGTATCGTTATGCTCCGAATTTTCAACAATCTAAGTATGATGGTGTTATGCTTTTAACATTGAACGATGAACAGCTGAAGCATAATCACATTCACGATCAATTTCAGCGCCGTGCAATATTAGACGCAATCAAAGAATTGAAATCAAGGGAAAAGTATCGACCGATATCTATCGAGCGTTTTCAGCCTCCTTCTTCTTCAATTTCCAGTGCATCATCAACAACCCCAACAACACTCATTAACGATCATGGTGATAATTTTATATGTACAACATTTTATGAGCGTCGTCAATGTGATCTTTGTGAGAAATATCTGTATGGCATTATACATCAGGGTTTACAATGTAGTCGATGTGGAATTGTTGTTCATCGCCAATGTTCGAAATTACCATTGAAAAAATGTGTACACACAAATAAGCAATTAGAATGTCACATGATTATTGGTACCGATTTTAATGATCAACCGTTAGATATGAAAACGCAATTACCAATTATCATCACACGTCTATGTACAACACTAGAACAAATGGCAACTGAAAATCCATCATTGTCACTCATAGATGCCTATCGATTTTCAATTGAATCACAAAGAATTGCTTATTTGAGAAAATTAATTAACGATAATGATATTGAAAAGATGGATTTTAAAAGAATGGAATTATCAGAATTAGCTAGTCTTGTTAAAGTCAGTTTAAAAGAGCCAGGAATTGGTGAGCAAATCACTAGAGATCATTTTTCTAAAGTAAAAATGACATCGTACATAAGCGCACTAAAATGGTGGGGCTTCATTTGAGTGCGTCTCGTTTGAGTGCGTGTTTTTCTAGCGCGTCTCATTTGAGCGCATTCTCATTTTAGTGTGTCTTAGTTTAGTGCGTCTTATTTGGGTGCGTTTTCAATTACACAACTCATTCCTCAAATTTGAGGAATGAGTTGTGTAATTGAAAACGCACCCAAATAAGACGCACTAAACTAAGACACACTAAAATGAGAATGCGCTCAAATGAGGCGCACTCAGATGAGAACGCACTCAAATGAGACGCACTCAAATGAGACGCGCTAAAATGACAACGCACTCAGATGAGAACGCACTCAAATGAGACGCGCTAGAAAAACACGCACTCATATGCCACGCCCCCCCCCACTAAAATAATGCTCTGATACTAAAATTAGTCTTTCTTAATTTAGGCATCATTCCGGATGAAAATTATGATGATTTTTTGAATTTGGTTAATGCACCAACACAAGTTGTACAAGAATTTGTTAATAATTATTCTATGCCATTTTATATTGATTTTTTAAAATTTTTAATGAAACACATCATAACCGTATGGAAACTTGATTATCAATCAGCATCTATGACTGCAAATTCCAAAGAACGAAATAACAGTTTAACATATGACAGTGAGAAGTTAATTGATAAACTCGTTGCAATATTTAAGCAATTGATATTCAGGTATACGATTTTATCTAGTAGCAGGGGGGGAGGGACTCTAACAAAGGCTTGAATTGAAATATGAGCGTAGTGGATTATTGTCTACTTTTTTTTAATTAAAATTTGTTTTAATTTAGACCACCGTGGTATAAAATAATGTCTCATGCTCGAAATGACAAAGATCATATTTGTTTATTAAAACGTTTTATCTATGAAATTGATTGGGATATCGAACGTCCACTATTTCAACATAGTATTCCATCAGCCGTATTATTATCATCACATAATCAATATCAACAGCAATCATTAGAAAAATTTCCATGGTTTTTTAATCGCGATGAAATGAAACAACTTAATTCAAAATTAGCGTTTTCCACAACCGTATCATCACAAATAGCTGATGGTGAATATTATGTTCGATTTTCAAATGATTCTAAGGTTCTTGCACCATTTACACTTGTTGTACAAATTGATGGTCAACAGCGTTTCATTAGAATATGTATGAATAAACAAGGACAATATGGCTTTTCAATATCACAATGTTATTTTTCTACTATACAAGATTTAATTAATTATTATACACAAAATTCATTGTCAAAACATTTTCCCATACTAAAAACTGATATGAAATTAACAAAACCAATACAACGTGATTTATTTTTGGACTTGAGAATTGAAGATGATTATACCGTCATATTTTCAAATATACATGATCCTCATGTATTAAGGATAACATTATTAGAATTAACAATGAAATATAATGAAATGGAGCAGACATGTTCGGCTTTAAAATCAGAATATCAAGGTAATATTTGATCATTTTGAAAGATATCCCGAGAAAAGAAGAAAATTTTTACCTTTTTTGTTTTATTTAGCCATGATAACATTGATGAGTGAAGTACAACGTTCAACAATGGCTTATGGACGAATATTAACAATTTATGAAAAACAAATGAAATTAAATCGTGAAAATATAATTCAATGTCAAAAACAAGTTGAAAAACATGAATTTGAAAAATCATATAAGTATTTGGAAACACGCGTCGAATCATTTATAAATAATATGCAAAAACTAAACGATATGTATGCGGAGAAACAAGTAAAACGAGAACAATTATATAATAAAATTGAATCAAAGAAAATAGAAATGAAACAATATGAAAAGAAAATAGCCATGTGTATGAAAACACTGGAAGATAAAGGAATTGAACCACATGAAATAAACAGGTATAGGAATAATAGCAACTTTCTTTTTGCTTGCATTAAAACTTAATATATTTGTTTTCCTTTATTATAGTTGGCTTGGTGTACCAGACGAAGATGAACCATGGTTTTTGCCCGATTATAATCGAGAAATGGCTCATAGTTTACTGAAAACGTGTCCTGAAGGAACATATTTAATTCGTAATTCATCAAATGGTCTCTATGCTCTAACAATTGTTCATAATGGACTCATCTATGATTGTCGTATTGGACGCGATGTAAATCAGAATTATGCATTTGGATTTGTAACAACAACAACAACACCACCAGCAACAAATAATAATGTTTCCTCAAATAAAAATGGTCCTTCCGATGAAATATACTCAAAAATCACATTTAGCGAACGTTTATTTTATTCTCTTAAAGATCTTGTTGAATATTATACGCAACATTCATTAGTTGAACATGCATCTAATTTAAATACGCGCTTGATTACACCCATTAAACGACATGTATAAAGTTATTTTTATGTTTTTTGATACAGAATCTCTTTTATAAAATTTGTTAACGTTTTTCAAATATGCTTTTGTTGTTTTTCAAATTATTGTCAGTAATTTATTTCTAAAAGAAATTGTAGATAAGAGACTCAAACTGAACAGTTTTTGTTAAAAATTTGAATAAGAGCTCTCTGTCCACGTTTTTCATTCGTTAATGATAAGTCGCTATTGAGCGTAGTGACGGATTTAGAAGAGATGTGCAATCGCACACACACTCTTCCAAAATATTTTCAGAGGAAAAACAAACACTGTTAGTGCACCATTGATTGAGTGGCATGGATGACATTATGGTTTTGACAATAGATTTCAAGAGATGCGTCCTTATGTCACTTTTCGAATAAATGGATAATAGACGGAATTTCATTAAACTATTATTTGAATATAATATTTCTTCATACAATCTACGACAGTTTATAGATAGATGGTTAATTAACTCTATTCTCTCTCATACAGGATTAAAACGTTGTCTTTGATCTACTTTAGTGTTTAAGATTACGTCGTTGTGGTTGAAATATCATAAATAGGATTAAAATGTTTACTGATTTCGGGCCATCGGCTACGCAAACGTTCACGTCTTTCATACGCCATATCTTGCCTTGATAATAAAAAGAAGAAAAAGTGAAAATATATAATGAAAATTGATCATATTTCCCTATATACATACCGTCTGCCGAACATATTTTTAATTCTTTCTTCTAATAATGATACTTTTTCGATTTCTGATGTTCGTTTCTTTGACGTTTTTGATTGTTGATGTTCTCGAACGTGCTCTTCCTCGTTATTAATCGAAGTTTTGATGGGATAATATTTTTCAATTGATGGAAAATGTTCTAATGGCACACGAAAAAGATGCAATGGTGAAGAATCTATTGTAGTTTGAACAACTGAACTTTGATTTTCATCATTAAAATCTAATACTATAAAGTTAAATAATTAGCTAAGAAAATACTTGAATAAGCAAGTATTATTACCTCCAATAATTAAATAGCGTGCATTGTCTACTAAAAAAATTTTATAGTCATTATTATCAACATTGCCATTGTTGGGTAAAACAATTTCACATAGTTGTTTGCATTCTAAACTGTCATTAATATAAAGACGATTTTTCTCATTGATGGTGAGAAACTAGAACAACAAAATTTTCATATACAAGTAATGATAATTAGACATTATATTTTAAACATTCTTACTAGGTTAGACTGATTATCAAAGTAGATTGTACGTGTTATTTTAGATGCATCTTTACTTTGAGCCCTATGTAAAACATAAATATTTTTCTTTTTTTTTTCAAATTGATCTTATTATTACATGAAACATACTTTGGTAAACAAATCGTATCATGTGGATCAAAATTTTCTTCGTCATCAATCATTGCTCGGTATTTAATATGATGAACTTTTCCATCACTGGATAAAACGGCAAACAAACTCGTTTCATCTGGCGTAGAAATGACATTAATTTGTTTAATTGGTTCTGAACTAATGCTTTTAATTAACGGTATTTGATTACCTATAGAGGATAAAAAAACAAATTATATTAAATCTGTCTAACATTATAAATTGATCATTTTAACCATGTGTTTTATCAATAACACAAACAACACCCGTTTGCAAACCAACTGCCAATCGTTGTAGATTTGTATCATATCCTATGCTCGTTATTCGACTAGAAAATGGCCAGATTGTTAGAGGACGTGTATCAGATGAATCTAAAAATAATCATGAGAAAATTAAATACTCTTTCTGAGAGAAAAAAAACTATGTATAATACAAAAAAACCTTTTCCTTTTGCATCCGATTTAGCGAGAGTATAAAATAATAGTTGGTTACTATGTGACCAACTGACAACCAGACACTTAGAGCCTAGAAAAAAGAACAAACAGCAAAATTTAGCTTTAAACTTTACACGATATCTCGATATGCAGATGGTACTAGCTGAAGACAATCTTACTGTCATTTGGATAGGCTGATAGAAACAAGACATTTGGGCTTCTAAATAAAAGCAAAGGTATTATTTAACGATTGTTAAACATTGTATTTTTTATTTACATTGGTGTTGTCAGTCCATCAACGTCAAGATTTGTCAGTGTTTGTTGATCAATGCCAGTTCCTAGTTCTTGCACTAGTTTCGATTTTGTATCAATAATTTGTTGAGTGTACAGATGGTTACTCGTTCCTTGTCCAATATTTAATTGATTATCAGTCGCTTTCATTAGCTGTGGAAAATTATTTGTACCTTTAACAAACGAGAAAAAAAAATTCATCCTACTTCTATAGTTTATCATTGACATACCATTTCCGAACTTTGGAGCTTTCACTTTGAATAGGAGTATTGGACGAGTAAATTGTCCGCGTACAAGAGTTTTACCCTGTTTTATGTCTTCCGTTTGTTCGCTTAAACTCATTGTTGATTGCTGTTCAGACAGATTCTCTTTTACACTGTTTAACGACTGAGAAGAGAAAAGACAAAGTTTTCAAAGAATTTTACATTCAAGATAAACGTACTTCTTCTTGTGTTTTTATCTCATTTTTCCATTGTTCTTTTGGAACTTTATAAATATCTAGCCAATATTCATTATTACCTATATGATAAAATAAATGTAAATGACAATATATCAAATAATAGTAGCAACTAACCAAACCATGATACCATAATAAATTCATCATTCAATCCCATTTTTGTTAGTTTGCATATTGGTCGTTTCGTCTCGTCCTATGTATAAGCTACAAATCATTCACACATTTTTCCCGTAAGTAATACTCTTCTCCTTACTTCTGTTTCATAACACGTAAATAAAAGATAGAATTGTTGATTTTTATGAGCGAATATTCGCCAATAGCCTAGAAGTGATTATAATAAGACAAATTGACCAGTGATTTTATACACACATACCTTGCTGATCAATGACACTAATAAAATAGATTTCCTCCTCTTCAGATCCATATTTAGAAACTTCCATATGATCGATCAAACTCATTGTATTATCCAATCGAGTATTTGTAATTATTTCATCTAGTTGACTAGAATAACAAGCAAGACAAACGTCGGTTTGTAGAATTCCACTAAGAAAACATAACATTCCATTATATGCACTACCAACGGTAAATACTGGAAAGTCAACCTTTTAAATAAAAAATATTTTATCGTAAAAACTCATCAATAATATGTTTTACATACTTTTATGTCTGTTGACGATTTATGCTGTACCGGAGCATATTTTGATAGATCATATAATCGTTGTTTCTCACGTTGTTGAGTTTGTGACCAAACATCATCTAATATTGATTCTAAAATTTTATTTATTCGTCTAAGTTAAACAAAAGTTTAATTATTAATTAACTCATTTAATATTTTCACTTATTCACTTACCGAAATGGTTGAGGTAAATCATCAAACATCAGTGCAGGATTATTGACAAAATCTTGTCGTTCACTCAACATACATTGACGTGATGGTGGTGGAATTGTATGTTCATCGTCTCGTTTGCTGAAAACAAGATTGAAGAGAAAATTGATATTAAGATAAAGCATGAACAACTTACTTTGATGAGATCTTAGAGCCGGATTGTTCTCTTCGATAATTCATATTATAATTATCTAAATATTATACATTTGAAATATAAAACACATCTCGTCATCAAAAAACTTTTGATCAATCGGTAAGTCAACTTCTTAAGGATGATCTTCTATTGTTATAACTTTTTTCGGCTTGATAGTAATCAATCAGCCAAAAATATATATTTTTGCAGAGTTTTATTGAATGTGTTGTACACATATACTCTATAACAAGATTTTTGTTCAAGAAAGTGGTACTCAAAAGTATACTTCGTCTAATTCTTTTCCATTTACGTTTATTTTTTAAAAAAAATTTGTAACAGTACTAATTTTATCCGAAATAGTTTAATTTTTTATGTTCTAGAATCGACAGTGATCTTCGATATCGCAGTAGTACTATGGGAATAGATTATATCAAGCCAAAAAGAGAGTAAGAAAGAAAACGATTTTCTAGTTACTGTACAAATACGATAAAATTTATTGAATAAAGAAACAACTACAACATTATTTGCTAATTAAAAACGTAAATTATCAAATATTCTAATCAAGTATTCTCAATGAACTTGTTTCTCCCAATTCTTTCTTTAGTTTAGCATCAATCTTATCCCAATCAACATCGATCTAAAATACGAAGATAGATGATAAATTTTTTAATGTTTTAAGTTATAAATAAAAAGCTTACATTTTTCATTGCCTGCAAATATTTTGGATTCGTTTCTTTTTTTCCACCAGCATAATCTTGTAGATACTTTTGTCTATAACCAACGATAATATCCAAATATTGTGGGTAACGTTGTGATAAATCAATTGCACTAGAAAAATAATTAATCATATGCCAGAAAAACAACTTTTAACTTATTCGTAAGTACATTTAACTTGACAATTATAATTTCTACATACCGATCCCAGTTATGTTCATTAATATGAAGCATAATGGCATGTAATGGTTTATTTCCTTGAAGATAATGACCCTCAGCTTCGTGAATATTTCCACCAGCTAATAAGGCAAGTTCTGCGTCTCGCTCTTCTTTAGTTGGTATAGTTCTTAATTGTTGTAAACAGTAAACCATTTCCATCTAAATAAAGAATAACATAAAACATTTTTTTTTTCTCGAATGAATAAATAAGAATTACTTCTGATAATTGTGCAAAAGCATTTTCAGCTGAATCAAAATCATGATTATGTAATGATATGACAGCAATTAATGCATAAATTGTATCATCCTAGAAAAATCAAACAATTAAAATATATTGGATAATATTTACAAATGATAGATAACAGACGGATATATATTGACATAATTGAAAGGCTTCGTCTGCACGATTAGCTGCCAATAGATCAAGACATAATTCATAATAGATCGGTATTGAACATTGCATAAGTGCTCCGGTTGATTTTCTTATTGTTATATTACTACTAAGAAAATCTGATATTGATGGATTTTTTCCAAAATCACTAATATAAAGAATAAATGTTAATATCTCAACTTTTATTTTCAAAAATAAAAATATATTGATACCTGGAATCTAAATGATATGTTGTTCTTTGAACAAGATTATGTTCAATGAAAACAACATTTGGATACAACCATATATTTAATTTTCCATCTGCTATTCCCGCTAACATTGAATTTTTATCATTCCAACGAAAACTTCCTACACTCGTGCCTAAAAATACATTTTTGACATTTTTCTATTTGATTATGTATGTGTGTATATTGACCTACATAATTTTTTTATTCTTTGATTCATTGTTCGTTGACTATTTGATCGTACAAGCATTATAAATAAATCTTGAAATTTATCGGCAAATGCTAATTTTCGTTCATTTTGTGATCCAGTTTGATCAAGTGCAATTTGTATCACTTCGTACTGAATAAAATAAAAAAATTAGTTAGAAAAAATAAAAAATAAATGTTATTTCTAATATTTACCGAATGTGGTATAGGTTTTCCATCTCCTATTGGTTTTCCATTGATATCCAAGAATGTGATAGCTATAGAAAACGAGAACAATAGTCAGTTATTTCTTTTTTTATTTTTAATGATAAAAAATTGCTTACATTTTGTATCTGTTGAGTCTCGAATGGCGATTGTATCTGAACTTAATGATATTGTATTGATATTAATTGAATCCGGTTTTGATGAATTCAATTTTGGAGTGGCTACAAGTCGTCCTTCATAAGAATAAATTGATACATTAATACCATCTGACAATAAAAAATATCTAAATTAAACATAAGAATAATGTAAATGTTTGTCTTTCTAATTCATTTTACTTTTCTGCCTGAACAATTAAAGTCATTGACATATCACGTAAGTCAAACATTGCCGGATGACCGAAAGATTTACAACTGAAAATAAAGATAAGAAGAAGAAAGTGATGATTTTTTATTATCAATTAAGTCTTACTTGTAAATTAAACCTTGACTACTTGTTAAAACCAATAAGTAACCAAATCCAACGGACATTTTAACTAGACGATCTTTTAATTCAATTTTATCTTTTAAACCTTCTTCTTCACAATTATTCACAGATATTACTTTTGAATCGCTTAAAATAAATTCTAAATGTCGCCAGTCAATTCGACTGAAATTTAAAAAATAAAATAGTTTGAACGTTGAATTTGTAAATAGTAGGTTTTTGCTAATGTCTGAGTTGTAACACTCATCCTACCGTTCAATTATATGTCCAATTCCCACTCGACCCGTACCACAACCGCAAACTAATTGCGTACTGTCACCGGACCATGATAAGCCATAAATACTACCATATTTTGGTTTTTCTGTTGAATGGCACCACTATAAGAAATGAAGAAGATGAAATTGGTTATATCTTAAGATTTATTACATACTCCAGCACTATCACAAAGACGCAATGTATTATAAGAGCCAACGGCAAAATTCGAACCGTCTGGCGCCCAAGAAATAGCTGTAATTGGATACTCATAAGCTTGGCTTACAAACAATTGTCGACCGACAGTATCCCACACCTAGGAAGATACAAGATGTTATAATATATGAAATTATCAATTAAAAAGTAAATTTCTTAAGAAATTTGGATAAAAATGGAAAATTATTTAAAATCAAAATAGACTTACTTTATACCTACAATCTTCTCCTCCAGATATAATCAAACCGTTAACAATATTCCAATCACATTTTAAAATAACATTATCATGAGCTTTCCACTATACAAGTTGAATATTTATATACACCACTACGAACAGTATTTAGTAAACGAATACTTACACCATTTTGTTTGGCATTTGGTGATAATGGTTTGATTATAAGATGTTTTCCGCTACAGTATAGAATAGAATCATTCTCAGCTGACCAACAAACACAAAACACGGGCGTTGCTATAATATAAACATATTTTCAATAATAGACGTAAGACTATGTTGTCTTAATATCTAACCTGATTGAACTAAATTCGATCGAAGCATTCCAGATCTGGCCCAAATTCGAACTTGCCCATCTTCTCCACCTGTATAAAAAAATTATAAAGAAATATAATATATAAAGGAGAAGACGATGGGCAAATAAAACCTGTTGCAAATTGACTGCCATCTGGACTCCAACGAACACAAATTGTTGCACCTCGATGAGCATCGATAACTTTTTCAACACGTCCAGTTTTATTAACAAAGCAAAATTTTCCTATGAGAAAAAAATATGTTTATTTGATTGATCGCTTAAACGTTTTATTTACCATCACTCGTTCCCAATACAAATAAATCTGATCCTAGAGTTCTTTTTGTACCACCCGTACCAGCTCCTCCACTAGCACCTTTTGGTAGCCAATGCATATCCAACGGAAATAGTTCTGGTGGTAATTCAGCAATTTTGATAACTTCATTTTGAACAACATTATATTTATAAATGACATGATCTTCACCAACAGAGAATACGTCATCAGCTGTCATCCATCCAACACAACTAACAACTTCTGAATGTATATATGATGTTAAGAAATACAGCATCGTATCTTTTAATAAATTAGACTGCCGAGTTACTTTTGTCAGTCAGAAGCTTGAGCGCAGATCGAACAGTACGTAAAAGATATTAGGTGACATATGCTCTCTAAGTTCGTGACAAAAAAACACACTATACTATGTTTTCATTAGTTTTCCACTCGATCTGTCCTTGTAAATGTATTTTGACACAAGTACTTCGTTAGCGTAATTAAGCTAGTACTTGTGTCTTTTTTGAGGTAAATTTACTTGTAAGTACTTGTTTCGCTTGACAAGCACGTCTTAGGTAAAACTGAAACTGTTTTCACACAGTACTTCGTAGTATTATACAATTCGTAGTATAGTACAAGTATTGGAATTTTGGATAAGTACTTGCAAAAGTTCATGCAGGTAAGTAGTTCTGAAAGCACTTGTCAATGTTTTCAAGTACTTATAAAGTACTTCTCAAGTAATCGTGTACCTGAATAAAGTGCCTTTACTAGGGATATATTCTGAAAATCTATTTAACAAATTATTTTTAATAAAAGGATATGTCGAAGTGCCGGCGGAAATGTAAATTTTAATCGCATATTAATATTGTTAATCTAAAATACATGATATAGTATTCCATCATTTCAATGACAACGGTAATATACAAACTAGAATGTAATTGTGCTGCGCACTAGTTACGATGTCGACAGACACTGATAATATTAACAGAGACGGAAAGATCAATAAAAATTGAAATTTTTTTTATTCTTCTCAGTGATTTATAGTAATAATAAAGTTTTAATTAAAAAGTGGCGTTGGACAATCAACTCTTAAAAATATACAAAAAGTTTTTAAGTCCAAAAAACATTTTTCTTCCACTTACTGGAATTATGGTGCTCAATCTATCACATTTTTTAAGAAATGGATGCGCAATGGTCCATCTACAGTGCCCAAAGAACGTCATTCCGTTTTTAGAATATTTCTACTCTAGATCATGTTGCTCAGATTCTTTTGCAAAAAAAAGTGACTAAACAAAAAATAGAACAACAAAATCCCTGCAAGAACACAAAATGTCTGTCGACATACGTATAGAAGTTACGATAAGATGAAAAAACTGTTAGGATGTTGCTCTGCAGGAGATTCAAGTTATACATTTGAGTTTATAAATCGAAAATTTGCAGCCATTTTTACTGCCTAAAATAGCCGTTGCTTAGCCGTTTAACAGATACATGCTGCTTGCAGTAGTGAGTTGAAATTTTATTGGATTGCTAACAACCAATCATCGCGAGAATGAGAGCTTAACTTAACATCAAACGTAATAGCACGGCCTGCGGTAACTTCTGATAGACAGTTTTCTTTTAACTCTTTTCAACTATTTTAAGAATTCTTTCGAGTATTTTGCTCATATATAATCAAATCAGTACAGGTAGTTCAAATGTCTGCATCTATTTCGTCTCAGTTTTCAAACCGTACTCGCCATCTTCCATTCTATATTCTTCTGGAAAGAAAATGTTGCTTTGCTACAACTTTAGCGGATATAATTCTCTCTGAGTCGTTCTTTTCAAGTCCAATGCCTTGTTACGAAGTTATTAGCAGAGAGACAGCATGATGGATTCTTCGTGAGAATAGTTTTTATATTTATATATAATATTTATTATTGTTTAAGATTATCTAAAAACGACTATGTCTTCATCCAAAATGATATCATTCGATCGTTTATTAGATTCGTTACGATTAACTCCTCGTCATCGCTTAATCGCTTTTAGCGGTAACTTGTTTAATGTTAGTTGTTCTTTGAACGACATCGCTTATCCATTTTTCTTTTCTTAAGATATGTGGGCAGAGATATTTCTATGGTGCTTTATGACATCAATTATTATACATATCATTGCATCGATTATATCTGTCGTCGCACTGCGTGATCATAAAATTGGTCGATGGTATTCTATACTGATTATATTAGCGGGGATTATAACTCCTATTATTCCTTCTGCAATAACAAGTAAGAATACGTTGCACGAATCTTTATTAGCGTGTTTGCTACTGCTAAGGATTGTTTGAGAAGCCTAGTCATATTACGATATTTAACAGAAGATCTTCATAATAATAAGTCAAAGAGAGAAGCTTGTCGTTGAGAATAGAGAATAAAACAAGATTAATTGATGTCAAACGCAAGAGTGATTTCATTACTTTTGTACAACTCTATGGCAAAGATTTTTTCGTTTAAGAAAAAATATATCAATGAAATTCTTTCATCAGAAATGTATTTGATATTAAAGGATTTTTTTAATTAGGTGCATTATTGGCAGCAATATTTTATGCTGCATCAGTTGAAATGAAGCCATTATTTTGTTTTGTACTTGGTGTTGGACAAAGCACGGTTATTATATTATTCTCAATATTGCGTATCTTGGCTACGCTATGAAAATGGACAAAAATTTCGAGAGAAAAAACGAACGATATATCAATCTACGACCCTATTAGTATGTCTCTAATTATAAAGTAGCCAGATATTTATTTATATGTGACGACAATACGGCTTTTGTTGCCATTCTAGCTAAGAGACAGATGAGAGATGTATCGATAATTTATTATACTTTATGACAATGTTATATATTTCAACCTTCAATTTCAAATATGTTTATTTCAAAAACATAACGTTGGCATTATTCTCACACGATTTCTCAATTAGAATAATATTTTATTTGTATCACTGCACTTAAAATCAGATTTCGACACGTCACCGTCAAAGACGATCCTAGTATGTTTTAGATGTCCAAATGTGGCATAATGGCACACGTTATGTGGCAAATGTGGCACACGTTACGTACAATTTATTTTTATACATAAATAACTGTTTATTTTGTAGTATCTTTCAGTGATTATCAATTCTTAGTAATAGTAAATGACAACCAAGGTGACGAGAAAGTATGCGATGTAAGACGGCTCAATAGTAATGAATTTTGCATTTATATTTTGAATCATTGTTTCTACATTACGATTCATTTGTTATTTATTTGTACATTTACTGGTTAATTTTATACTTTGCGGACTTTTCTAATAATAAATGATAATATGTGTGAGTCCATTTTCTAAGTTTCGTCTTGTTTATCTCTAAAAGTAGACAAAGCTCATGGTAATTTCTTTCTTGGCATCTTCTACTTCTCATTCTTAAATTAGCCATAGTGCTTTTGTGGCGTCCTAGTGTTGTACAGAAGTATTTCCAAACCACCGTTTTTATATTGTGACTAATTTTCTATTTATTTGTATATTTTTTAACAACTTTCTGGTGCTTTTTTTCTTATTATTTTGGCAAACTGGTGATCTTTTGCTCTTCTAATTGTAAAAAGCTGGATTTTAGAGTTCAAAAAAAAAGATGGCGAACGCTTAAATAACGATCATAATATTAAAAAATATGTTCAGTTATAAATTTGAAAATTGTGAGACAACACAGTCTTACTAGTAAAATCTGAGCAGTACCAACACCGGCCTAGTGCACAAGAGCGTTTGGCATCATTGAAGACTGTTAAGTCTGATACACAAAATAACTGCAATAACTTGAACCATTATTGTGCTTGAGGTATCATCTTAGTTTATTATTTCACTCTTTGATGAACATCGTTAAATGTATTCATATATTCAAGTGGCAGTGCTTGTTGACCAGCATTACTGTAACTTTATCACATTACCCATTTAGAATTATATCAGACACAGCAACGTTATCCGCTTTGCTGCACTGCACTGTATATAATGTACTTCGTTAGAGACAATTTATTTGTAGAAATATCCGCCTTGAAACAGGGCCGTAGCCAGAAATTTGGTAAGGAGTGGGCATCTACAAAAATTTCAGTCTTCGAATATTATTAATCAGATATACAGTGTATAAATTGTAACAAAGGTCTAATTTTGTGAGAGACACATCTTGCAGAAGTTGTATGAAATTCAGTTTTTTTTATGCCCTTTAGTGTTTAAAACCCAAAAAATTTTGAAAGATTTCCAACAGTAGAAAAGTTTTTTAATCAAGTCAGAATCTTCCTGCTCCCTCTCAGTTTGTATGGTAGTGCCAACATGTGCTGCTAATAATACTTAACTGACCTTCTACAGAGACAGCCTGTGTTCTTGACAGGGCTTCCATTCATGAGTGAAAAAACGAAATCGTAACATGAGTTTTTTGAATCAATCATATATCTCCATTTTTGACAGTGATAAGGATGCGAGAGTCTACATTTCTAACAATGAAGAAATTATCATGTAGCATTCTAGTTTACTTTTGAAGTTAAACAAATGCTTTAACAGCCAGTGTGAATGCAATGAAACAATTTAATAGCAAAAAAGAGTTGTCTTCAGAATAATGGTATACATTTTTTTTATATACATAAATTAGTATGTTTTACAAGTAATTCATTGACCGTCTGTCCTGAATACTTTAACTATCTTTTATTCAAGTGATCCGTACAAAAGAACAAATAAATAAAAAAAAGAAAGAAACCACAAACTCAAGGTGATTGTGTGTAACGGTGAAAACGCTTTTTCGCTTGAATTTACTTTTTTATCTCAATTCCAATAATCAGTTGATTTAAAAAGAAATCAATGGGAGAACGGATAGTACTGCTTATTCTCAAATTTCTGTTATTGTTATTTCGTAAGAGTGGTTGTAATCAAACAGATACCACAACGACATTATCGTTGGACGATGCTACAACAGTAGTCGATAATTCCTCAGTCGATGCTGAATGGAAGGAATATAGCCAAGCAAGACAAAAACTAGAGTCCAATCCAACAAACGGACTGTTGAGATTAGTGTACGGGAAGCATCCGTGGGAAGGAAATCTACAGGTAAAGTGAAATGGATCTTTTCATGAATAAAAAAAGAACTTCTCTAGTCTCTTGACGAGAAGCAAACGAAAAAGTATTATGCTCACCTCTCTTGCAGTCAGAGGAAATGGCAAAATCTGTCTGAATATATAGGTCTATTACAATCGAAAATGGGGAGGTATTTGTCACGATCATTTTGATAATGTTGCTGCACAAATTGTTTGTCGCGAACTTGGATTTGCCGGTATCCAAAGATATACGCGTAATTCGCATTATGGCGATATGAAATGTAAGTTTTAGAGTAGCAGACATTATTAGTAATAGACGATCGAGATCTTTTCTGATCTTTAGTATCAATATGGCTAGACGACGTGAGTTGTAATGGTAACGAAAAAACGTTAACAAATTGTACACATAGACCATGGGGCGAACATGACTGTTCTCGACATCAAGCTGTTGGTATTGAATGTCTGCCGGTGTTTATAAAGAAAACAACATTAGCAATGGAAAACGGCAGCAATATTAGTACGACAGAACCAGATAAAACTGTAAGACTTCCCTTAATAATATACATATATACAGTTGAGAAAAATGTTTTCATTTATAGAAAAGATTTGGTATATCTAAAGACGCTATTCGTCTTCAAAATGGACGGATACCAAGCGAGGGCTATGTTCAAGTGAAATACGAAGGTGAAAAAGGACTTCTATGCGGAAATGGGTTCGGTATGTTAGAGGCGATGGTTGTATGTCGAACTCTTGGATTACAGTATGCGCGTAATCCACTTCAAGTATGCAGATAGGAACACACACAGACACTCTCTCCTAACAGCGGTTCTTTTTAAACTTTTATCTGTAGGATCCATTATTTGGTAGTACCACTGAAAAAGTTGTTGTAAGTGGTTTGCAATGCACTGGATACGAAGAGGAGCTGTCAAACTGTATTATTGACAACACATTATGGTGTCCTCATCATCAACGAATTGCCGGTGTTATGTGTACAGATCAGTTGCCAGATTTGTTTATCGATATTGATGTGTTAAAGCGTGATTTTTATCTAGAAGATCGCTATATGTTCTATATGCAGTGTGCAATGGAGGTATGACGACTTTTTAACATACTGTACCCATTGTAAATCATTTTATTTTTAACGTTTTAGGAAAATTGTGCTGCACCCAGTGCATTCGAAGTTCAAAAAACAGATCCTGGTAAGTGGATATCATTTTGTTACGAAAAACTAGTATATCAATGCAAATGTTCTATTTTTGTTAATCTGTGTTCAAGATTAATCAAATTATACTACTGAGGAAAACGATCTTAATGCTGGTTTATCTTTCACTCACTATTACATTTTAGCCAATGCCATTTCATTACTTCTTATTCTTTAAGACTGGCATTATCGTCATCGGCGATTGTTACGTTTTACTACGGCTATTTGGAATAATGGTACAGCCGACTTTCTTCCTGTGTTACCAAAGACAACTTGGATATGGCATCTTTGTCATGCGTACGTGTTCCAAAAGAGTATAGGTATCAATATTTATCCAAAATTTCTATTTTTTTCTGTGCCATCAACATAAATGTTCTACAATTTTTAGACATTATCATAGTATGGAAGTGTTTGCAAATTATTTCATCTACGATTCAAAAGGACGAAAGATAGTCGAAGGACATAAAGCAAGCTTTTGTTTAGAAGACGCTAATTGTAAAAAAGGAAAACAACAAAAATATTTCTGTAGAAACTTTGGAGATCAAGGTTAGGTTAAAGAAAGTGATTTTTTTTTCAGTTATCATATGCTAGTTATCGTGTAGGAATATCACCAGGATGCGTTGATACCTATTTTCATGATGTCGATTGTCAATGGATTGATATAACAGATTTGCAACCGGGAACATATCGTTTTCAAGTAAGCCACACTCATTCGAATCTTATCGTAAAAAAACATTTGTACTGTTTAGATATCAATTAATCCAGATTATAAAGTCGCTGAAATAACCTATGAAAATAATGTTGTTGCGTGCAGCCTGTATTATTTTGTAACAGGAGCATCGCTAAGAGACTGTCAGTTCCAGAAATCATGGTAATAAATTCTGACAGTTCAATACTGTACTTATTCTTAATTTAATCAAATCACGTGATATTTAGAGATTATAATAAGATGAGCTTATATCGTTTTATAATATCATTTTGTGTAGATGTAGGCATGCACTTGTAGATCTGCACTCGAGTTAAATGATGAACACTTTGTTTTTTTCTAATAAAGCAATAAATTTTTGAATATCAAGAACGATTATATTGTTTATCTACCTTTAACAAAACGACGTTCAAAGTATCAACAGTGGAAAATATTTTCTTCCTTATTACAAAAATATTTCAAGATATATGGATACGAAATTATTACGCCTATTGAGCTTAACAGATTTCAAATTTGACAGTCAAATAAAGATGATAAACTTCTGAGGACGTGGACGTATCCTATTCTAGACTGCTATTATTCTTTCACAGTAAAATTTAATGACTAAACATGTTTAATCACCATATAAAACAGGATAAATATACTCCTTAAACAGCAATAAACGTTTGATTTCACTGCAGTTATGTAACATAATTGAATCAGCAAATAGATTACTAATCTTCGTTGGCAGTCACCGCCAAATAAAAAGAATAGCCTTACATATTGTTTAAATATCGTCAGATACGAAAGGGCTTTAAAGCTATAATTCTATTATTTTGTATCTCAGAGTTTGAAGCATCGTTTTGTGGAAAACTAAAGTTTATAATCACCGTTTCTGAAGATGATATATTTACAGTTTGTGGAAAACCAGATTACCAAACAAAATGCACATTCATATCTCTCCCAATGTGGCTTGATCATCTAAACCATCCTACGCACATACACACAGATCAGACCTCTCCGTGTGTCATGGTTTAGGCGTGAAAAGGTTGATAGTCCAAAAGCTAGAATTAGGCGACTTCGCATAACCGCGGAAATGAATGAAAACAGGTTCTTGATCAGTCTGGCATAAAACGAAAACTCGTACTTTGCTCATATTTCAATCACATCAGTTGAAACGTTCGCAAACTACTCTGTTGTATCTAATTTGTTGACATGAGTAGACAACTGAGAGTGTATTTTCTTATCATTGAGTTTTTCCTCGAATGGTCTTAAGAAAAAAATTAAATCTAGGGTTCTATCGATGCTCTGAGTTCAATCTACTTATGTGATCATATTTTGAGCGTTCCAAGTAATTTGATCACTATCTTCAGCGATGGTGGTCAAACTTTGGTTTTCTGTAGAAAGATGCGTCACACTCCGACAAAGAAAATGGCAGAACTAAAGCTCTTCCCTTTTTCCTACCAAAACGATAGTTGAATAGTTAAATATCCCATACTATTCTCTTTCCCAATTGAAATTAATTCATGTCTTTAGATATTTTGTAGGTTATCCGGTTATCCGTCGTATATGTTCAGCAATGATTACATAATGAAAGAACATCAAATACTCGATTTAAATAGAGCAGAATATTTTCGCAATATTCTAACCATTGAAACATATTACAATCAAAAAATGGTTAGAAATTTTCGTTTAATAAGAGATAAGGAAAAATGGACGGCATCACCGATGAAAGTGAATGCCTATTATAGTTTCATACAAAACGATGTTACATTTCCAATTGCTATATTACAAAAACCAATTTATTATGAATATGTACCCAATTTTATCAATTATGCATCACTTGGTATGTTTCCTTCAGCGCTTGTATGGTGAAAT